GATTGTGTTTCAGTGGGGGGTTTTGTATGGGTGTGTTTTTAGAACAGGCCTATTATTCAATTCGATTTTAAAACAGAAATTATTTATTTATTCGTGGTTTTTAGTATCGCCTATTCACCGCCCTGAGTCCCGCAAGGGAGATAGGGCGGTATATAAATTTAATAAATAATAATAATAATAATAATCCCCAGAACTATGATGCGCGCTAGAAAGGATCTTGCTGCTCAGCAAGGTGAGCAGTATGTAAGCAAGTTACCTTGTTCCTATAGCCCACAGCAATTTGGCATCTGCAGATAACCAGTTCTAACAGGGCCATGTATTCTATCCATCAGCACTACTCCACCGCCCCTTGGGATCCTGAAATGCAGCTCAGTAGATTTGGGAAATAGCAACATTGCTGCTCTCCCACAATCATATCTCGGTAATAAGCTCCTGGGATTTGTACATTCCTTTTCAATAATTGAGGATTCCAGTTCTATTCTCATCCATTTACAAAAGTTTGTCAAATTGTAATATAGAAAACATCATCATCAGCTACCGTAGATCCTTGAAAGTAGGGAAATGGAATTCAACATTCAAGACTTGATGCTACTCATTGTAAGTTTCATGAATGCAGCATCCAAGACCTGTGCTACCATTTGCAAAAAGCTGTATCCTTGTAACATGATAGAAGTTCTGCGATTCCAATTCAAAACTGCTTCGAACTGTATTTTATTTTTAAGGCTTCTAATAAACTTTCTTCTTTCTAGCCTTAATTTTTAATCTAAAGTTGGACTTCTGGTCTTAATTTATACTTTATTTACCTATTTCATTTAGAAATAGCCCATCTCCCTCCCTAAAAAGAGCCACTTTTTAAGTTGTGAACCTTTATAAAGTGTATTTAATTTGTTCTTTTTATATAAAAATAATGTTTTCTCAAAATAATACTATACCTGACTCAGTAGCAGATCTCTGAAGAGCTCTGGGTCCAAAAATGCTCCATTTTTCAGATAATACTTTATCGCTATCACCACTGTTGGAATCCATGGGGGCACGATCAGGACCAGTGACAGAAGCATAAGTTCCATGATTAAACCAGCTTCTTCAATGAAAAAGCAGAAATCAAAACAGGGGGACTAGATTTTGCGCATCAGATTTCCGCAAACATCTCTTCTTAACAGATACCCTCACTCCAAGTAAATTTAAAACAGAACATAAATCTAGAGGGACTTTATACAAAGTGTTTGATAAAATATTCAATTGTAAACACATCTGGAGAATCAGACAGATTCCTAGGTAATCAAGAGAGTCAGACAATTTGTGATTCTACTTTCCTTTTAAAAAATGTACCTGTATGAGCGCTTGGGAGAAGAATGAGGAGTGCTGCTTGGTGTGGACTGGGCAGAAGAGGCCTGCTTATCTTCTTTTACCATCTCTCCACTTTGCATCTTCAAATTCTGTTAGAAAAGCAACAAACATCTGGAAACTTTCTAAATTTAACCTAGATCCCACCAATAATACAAAATGATTCCACCTTTTTTGTCACTACAACTTTATGAAAGCTTTTGGTGGTATGTTTTAAAAAGCTTCATTCAAGATTATATAGGTTCTTATGGAAATCAGTAGACGTATTTCAGAGCATATTATTTTGAAGCCACATTTCTCTATTGCTATTTAACCCAACTGAAATGGGCAGCTAAGAAAAAAGACCAGTACAAGTAGTCAACTTACAACAGTTCATTTAGTGACCATTCAAAGTTACAACAGCACTAAAAAAACGATTTATGACTATTTTTCACAGACCATGACAGCATCCCCATGGTCACGTAATCAAAATTCGGATGCTTGGCAAGTGGTTCATACTTATAACGGTTGCAGTGTCCCGGAGTCATGTGATCACCTACTGCGTTACTAACTTAACAAATGCAATAAATCACTAAACAACTATGGCAGGAAAAGTCATAAAATGGGGCAATCTCATTTAACAAATGTTTCACTTAGCAACATAATTTTTGGGCTCGATTGTGGTCGTAAGCTGTGGACTACCTGTAATAGAAAGTTGAAATGCCCTTCTTCAGAGAGGCTAGATTGTGATACCATGGAAACAGGTTTATAGTGTTACTTTTACTGCCAATGCATTGATACTGAATCAAAAATTCATACTACTATTTTTACATTGAGGATGTACTAACTCATCGAGAACAGACCGTTTTGTTCCCACTCAGAACATTCCATTTCCCAACAGATCATGCAATTCTGGAGAAGTGGTTTCTAGAAGTAAATTAACTAGGCCAGAAATGTCTTGAGGTGCTCCATTATCATACACTAGCCACTTTTGGTTCAGAGGATTCATTTCTGGGTCCTGCCAAGCCACACCCCTACAGTAATCGTGCTGTCCAGGGGGGAAAAAAAAAGGAATGTTGCAGGGTTCAGAATTTTCCAGTTCTGGATTAACAAATTTGGCACATTCCCCATTTACACATACTTTAAACACACATCCAAAAAAGTACAATAACACAAAAAATAATGAATCGCAACGTATCAAAGACACACAGCAACAGATGTCTCTTCCCTCCATACTTGGTTCTGTGAAGTAATAACTAACCACCTCTACCAACGAGAGTAATAGGCTGGCTAAAGAACAGAAGGGCCCAAACACCTTACATGGAATGACTCAGCCACACGATGGTATTTTGTTTCTTCTGCAGTGAGGCCTTTGTGTGGAGTATAGCCGACATCTCTTAGCCCTGCCTGCTGTTCAAATCGCTGAATGCTCTCCTGGGTTTGTTCTAGAATGGACAACAACACACATTCACACATTTCTCAAAACTGTGCTGCCTACTACAGTTTTCTAAGAGTGATGTCATAAGCATCCACAATCACTAACTAGCAAAGCAGAGTGTGGCAATTCTTTAAACCACATATAACTAAGGTTCCAGAACATTCTGAACTTGGAAACTTTAGAAAATAGAATGAGGACGTGATGCAGATTGTAATGGCTTAGGATTCTTTCATACACGTGAAAATACACACTTTTCCTCTCCAATTAGTTCTATAATCAGATTGTTTAAACATTACTATAGGTGTTTCTAATATGTTCTAATAATTTATTTCATATAAGTTATATAAATATAAATAAAAATTGGCTAAGAAGGCGCTTACCAAGCAAAGAACAGTATTAAGTTCTAGGAATTCCAGAACTTAATAATGTTACCTCCTTCAGGTTTTTTTTTTTTCTATTTCTCAAAAAGACTCCTATTTCTTGTTGCGGTTTTTAGTGAAAGATGTCCCAGTGCCCATATTCTTAGATTATTAATCCTCTAACTCTATATCATTTAAGCTCATATCAGCTTCCAAGATTTTAGTCTTTAGCAGGAAACAACAGGATATGAATCTTGCTCCTTAGATAGTCAAGCAAACTATTTCACCACTAAGATACAGAGTTTAAAATATTAAAATACATTTTAATTTTTCTTAAATAAAGCGTTCTCTACGTTAAAGCAAACCTTACTAGACAATTTTAATTCAATAGGAAAGAAAAGAAAGCTTGGCTGAAAGAGATTTGCAGAACTCATTTTTTACATTGTTGGGCTTGCTAGACAAATAAGAGTTCTAGTCCTGCCTTAGGCAAGAAAACCATCTGAGTTACTCTGGGCCTATTATTTCCCTTTCAGCCAAGTCACCTCACAGCATTATTATTGTGGAGAAAATAGGAGCTAGAAGCATTATGTGCACTGCCTGGAGTTCCACAAAAATAAAGGCAATATACCACTTAATCACTCAAGCAATCAAATAAATAAAATTCAAGAACAGATGTTTCTAAAGCTAAGGCAGACCAAACACAGAAAGGGGTATAAAGCTTTAAATTAAACTGTATTATAGTCTTAATTCAAGCACTCAGTATGAACCAGCCTGTTTTCTAATTATCTGCCCATTAACAGAATGTATATTATTGCCAACCTTTGATTTTTCAACCTAATTCTCTATTCGTCAGTATGTTGTTTCCCACAAAGATGTAGCAGCTACTAGTACACAAGTGTCAAGAAGTTGCCTCTCACGGCCATTTGTTTGAAGACAATATTTGTTGGACAGATGAAATATGTTAGCCCAAACTAATGAATGGTCGATGGCAGCTGAGGATCAATCAAAAAATGTAATATAGTACTATAGCCCCAGTAAATATGTTTTTTAGTTTTTCACTGAAGCCTAACAGGTACCAGAATCAAAGTGGTTGTTATGACATTTTATTTATAATTTAACAATCTGTTACCTCCTAGTATGGCATGCCATTTTTTCCCTCTGTACAAATAGAACTATGTCATAGTTTTGACTTGGCTCAGTTGGGAGTGTTGCTATTGTACCAGCTTCCCTGCTGCATAGCAACCTCCCTGCCTGAGCTCCTGACTTTATTCCTGGTTGGCAGAGGATTTCCCCAGACTTATGTTCTCAGGGGGGGACTTCAATCTGCCTTCCCTGGAAACAAGGCCTAAGAAGGTTCAGGAGTTCATGGCTACCATGACAGCCATGGGCTTATCCAGGTCATTAAGTGCCTAATATTGTATAACAATGTACAATCCTCAATTGAGGGAGCTTTTGGGGTCCCCTTTTTCATAGTCAGATCATGCCTTGATTACCATGAGATTCTTTGGCATCAATATTCACTACAGGGAGGCTGGATCCATTACACTGATCCACCCCTGGTGACTGATAGACCCAGTGGGATTTCAGAGGGAGCTGGGTATTGTTCCTATTGGTCTCCTGCACAGTCCTTCCAAACCTTGTTTACCACTAGGAATAAAGGAGCAACTGAGGTTTTGGATATGCCACTTCTCCCCTCTCACAGAATTCATTACTCCCCATGGTTTACAAAGGAGCTGAGAGAGATGAAACGAGAGATGTCTAGAGTACCTGAAATGGAGATGAACTGAACAAGGGTTAGAGCCTCTATTAAGGCCTACTTTGTGACAGTAAGAGTAGTGAAACAGCAGTACTTCTCAGTCTGCAAACTGCCACCCTACAGCCCCATTTTGAGTCACACAAGTCCTCTGAGGTAAAGGAGGGCTGTTGAACCCTTTGCAGGGACATACAGAAGATCCAACAGAGATGGCATCTTATAACACCCATCTGCTAGGAAACCGTATTTGGCAGGCCCTAGAGCAGGGATAGGCAACCTTATTTATTTATTTATTTATTTATTTGATTTGTATCCCGCCCTTCTCCTCACCGGACTCCTCACCTTGGCCCTTTTATGACTCGTGGATTTTATGCTGGCTCAGGAATTCTGGGAGTTGAAGTCCACGAGTCATAGAAGAACCAACGTTGCCTACTCCTGCCCTAGAGAGTGGGCCTTTTCGGCTATGATGCCCACACTGTGGAATCTTCTCTACACAGAGAGAAGACTGGTCTCACCACTTCTGAGTCCCTTAACACTTGATTATGCCAGCGAGTCTGAGGATCCCAGGGCAAGTAAGATAGCCCCATCCCTTCATCTGCTATTTCCTTGTTTTGTTCTGTTTATTATAGTTTTTATTAATGTTTTGTTAATGTTTTATCATGAATGATAAGTGGCTTTATGTACTTATTCACTGTTTAGCTTTGTTGTATACCACCCAGTCACTTTTGGTGAGAGAGGCGGCTGTATGTATGTATGTATATGTATGTATGTGTATGTGTGTATATGTGTATATGTATATATGTGTGTGTGTGTGTGTGTGTGTGTGTGTGTGTGTGCAGGTCTTGGCGTATTCGGGTCTTTTCCCGTGTAAGATTGAGAGTATCTTGGTGACGTTTCAATAAGGTCCCACTCGTCATCTTCAGGCTGGGGTCTTCGGCTTCATTCCTGTGCGAGTAAAGTGTGATCGGAGCTGCCGTCTCTCTATAAATACTGGTGGGGGTGGGTGGAGTGCTGGCTTAATTGCTGTAGGTGGATTGTTTGGCTGTGTGGGAGCCATTGTTTGTGGATTGTTTGGCTGTTTCATAACACACGCCATGAACAGAGAGCTAGACCGCAAACTCGGAGCCAAACCAAAGCCTGGTATGCTACATCACAGCCTTCTGCTCTGGACATCACATCACAGAACTCAGGAGGTTACAACGCTAAAGCTCAGGATGTTACAACACAGCCAACCACCCAGGATGTTGCAACACAAAACTCAGGATATCACTACACTAGATCTCAGGATGTAATCACACAACCCATTACCCAGGTCGTTATAACACAAAAGACTAATGGTCACACAGCCAGCACCTCAACTACTCAGGATGTTATGAAACAGCCAAACAATCCACAAACAATGGCTCCCACACAGCCAACCAATCCACCTACAGCAACTAAGCCAGCACTCCACCCACCCCCACCAGTATTTATAGAGAGATGGCAGCTCCGATCACACTTTGCTCGCACAGGCACGAAGCCGAAGACCCCAGCCTGAAAATGACGAGTGGGACCTCATCGAAATGTCGCCAAGATACTCTCAATCTTACATGGGAAAAGACCCGAATACGCCAAGACCTGCATACCCATACCCGTGAAAATCTACGAAAACATATATATGTAAAATAAATTCAGAACATCATAAATAAATGAGACACAAGTTCCATTGCAAAATTCTCTGGAGAAATTAACCTGCCTACCAAAGAAATGCAAGAGCTCTTACTTGCAATAAGAGAATTCATGATGATGTGGGTGGCTTTGGCTTTCACTACTGGTGTCTTGTTCACCTCAGAAGAAGACGGGGGAACTTTGGCAGAGAGATGCATGCTAGTCTCCCCTTCCTCATCCTATACAGAGGAAGGCAGATGCAATTTTGGAAAAAGAAACAAAATTAGGAGAATTTCAAATAAAACTCCTGATCTCACGGGCAAAAGTTTTGGAACTTGTATGGAACAATAATCTTGAGCTGACATATTTCCACTCTCTTGCCTACAATGTGAAACACTATGCAACATTTCGAAACCACCATTCTTGTAGCCATTTGAAAACAAGAATTCACCAAAAAAAGCTTTTTTTTAATAAAGTTGGAAGGGACCTTGAAGGTCATCTAGTCCAACCCCCTGCTCAGGCAGGAAACCCTATACCATTTCGGACAAATGGCTGTCCAGTCTCTTTTTAAAAACTTCCAGAGTTGGAACATTCACCGCTTCTGGAGGCAGGTTGTTATTTTTCACTAGAAAAAATCTAGCTACAGAAATAAGTAAAAAGGCTCTTTCTGCAATAATTCTCTTTCTCATTAATTTTCCTGCTTAAAGAGACAAGCACAATTTTCAAACTATTCACTATTTCTAAAAAGTAGACCATATATCAGAATGACAATCACAACTGCTTCCTTCCCTTATTAAAAAAACTCCTAGTTTATAAAAGATAAAGTTAAAATTGAGTAACATAATTAAAGTTATTTAATTATTTAAGCCTAGTATAGCTCATTTATAAATTTCCTATCTTCATATAGCTCATACCTGTATTATAAGTATCAATTCCTTTTATATTAAAACAGTAATAAAGGCTTTACAGAATGAGTAAACTGGGCTTGCAGATTTTATCTCATTTCCTTCAACTTAACCTAAAATTTGCAAAAGATTCAGTTTATACTCAATGTAAAAGACATATAGTCCTCAACTTACATCTATTCATTTAGTGACCCTTTGAAGTTATGACAATGCTTAAAAAAATCACTTACAACCAGTCTTCACATTTACAACTATTACAGTGTCCCCACAGTCATGTGATCGCGACTCAGGCCCTTGGCAACCAGCATATATTTATAATGGTTGCAGCATCCTGGGGTTATTGTGGTCACCATTTGTGACCTTCCCAACTAACTTCCAACAAGTGAAGTCAGTGAGGGAAAATACTGTAAATTTGCTTAACAACCTCAACAAAAAGAGGTCATACAAATGGTCATGTGATGACTCACTTCAAGACTGCATTGCTTAGCGACAGAAGTTCCCATCCCAATTGTGGCTGAAAGTCAAGGGACTACCTGTATACTTTTTTTTCACAGAAAAAGTTTTAATTGAAATACATGCCTTTGTTCAAATTACTCTGAGAATTATACTTGCTCTCCATTGTTGCCTCTTTCATTTTATAAGAAACATTTTAGCAAGTCTTATCAGTGCAGAACTGTATCATTTTTAAAAGTTGCTTAGCTCTGTGGATTTATGGCTTTAAAAAATGTATCACCTCTTTGATATGTTTAATTTTGGTTGTTGGTTAGGAGATCTCTTTATTGTCTCTTTATTAGCTCAACAGACTGCATACCTGGGAAATCTTTTCATATTTGTGATCTGGAATGACTGGTTCTTTCCATAAGATACTGGTGGTCATATTTGAAGGAGGAGGAGTCATTGGTGCTGTATCCTCCAGGGCATCATCATAATTGAATGCCCGACGGTTCATTCCGATTGGCTGGGATATCTTCCCTAGAAGGCTTCCAGAGCCATGTTCTATAGCTAAGGACAGAAATTAAGATTTCACACAATGAAACTTTTAGTGTTTCACCTTTTCAAAAGCAGAATAGATAACATTAACCCTTCTTTCATCAAAGGCCTTCTAGGATCAGTACCGTAATTTTGAAACACGTTTGATGCAACTAACACAGCATTTATACCCAAATAAAGTATAACACATTACATCATGACCTTATACAAGATGGCAATCTTTTTCATTGAGGTCCACACTGCTTAGAAAAGATGAACAAGGCTGAAGCAAGAGGTGAATAAGGACACTAATTCTCACTGAATTTCTTATTGGTATAGTTTTCTACCAATATTCCCTCTCATAGCAGTTACTGTTAGAGAAAAAGCAGATTTTCCCCAACAATCTCACCTGATCCCTTGCATAATATCTTCTGATATTTCTGATATCTTTAGTCTAAAGATTCCATGTTGCCCTAGGATCACAGTTGCCCATCCTTGATTTAAACATCTTCTGTTTCATAGGTTATTTCAAATGTGACATGTAAAAATTTTAGGGCTACAAAAATCCTGATCTGAGATTCTTATTTTTCTAAGCACATTCTATAGCTCAGTGATGGCAAACCTTTTAGAGACCAAGTGCCCAAACTGCAACCCAAAACCCACTTGCTTATTGCCGGGTGCCAGGTGGGCGTGGTCCACTGGGTGGGCGTGGCTGTGGTGGTCATGGCAGATTGGGTGGGTGTGGCCAAGGTGGGCATGATCACCTCGATGTTACTCGTGGGGAGGGACACCTGTGGGGGCCGGGCAGGGTTGAGGGAGATCCAGGGGGTCTCTGGCACGTGGGGCGGTGGGCAGGAGGCTCGTCCTGCGGGGTGAGGCGAGGCAAGGCAAGGCAGGGTAGGAGTGCCATTGTCACAGGGCAAGGTGAGGCAGGGGCCGGGGCAGCTGCTGCCTGACACCATCGGCCCCTGCACACAGAGGCCAGCGAGCGCATGGGTGCTGGGATGCATCCAGCCATGTGGGACCTCGGGGAGTTAGCGGGCGGCTGGTTGAAGAGGGACAGTTGCCATCTCCGGGGTATGGCGCTCATGCCCACAGAGAGGGCTCTGAGTGCCGCCTCTGGCACGCGTGCCATAGGTTCACCACCACTGCTATAGCTTAATATGATCGAAACAATTGATCTTTCTGTAATCAAGGAAGCACAGGGCGACTTCTTGATATTCTTTGGCTTTCTCAATTATACCTCAGCAATAGAATTTACTAAAGCCAGTCTGAATGTGTATCATTTTGTTTTGGAGGAATCTAATTTGCATTGGATGATTCTAAGCATTTTTTAGCATGTGAAATTATGGATATTATACGATAGTTTGTATACTCATTTTTGTCATTTTTCTGGCATTAGAATATAGATCAGGGTTCCACAAAATGGCCAATATAATCCCCAAGGCTTGATGACATTGTTGTTGTGATTATTTAAAGTAATATTTATTAAATCATTTTCATATAAGGTTTGGGGTCAATGAACAATATGAAACTTCATGAGTGGATTAATGAGCTGAAGAGCTTGGGGACCCCTGATAGAGATAGATCTTTAGTCCCCAGACAAGAACACCGTGTCATTCTCCAGATTTGCTGAGAGAGTTTGGATATTTAAGTCTTCTTCTGTGATTTGATATATTTCTAGTACTTGTGGTTCCTTTAGATAGAGAATATTTTTAAGGTATCTTGGATGTTGACATTTCTGTACATTTGTACTGTGTTTTAGTATACACCTATCTTTGTTTGATCTTTGAATCAATTACTATCTGTCCATTAATGTCCATTAGCACACCAATTTGAGGTTGGTATCTTTTTCCGAATTCCAAAATCTTTTGCAAGACTTTGTTTTTCCATGTCTATTTCAATCTTCAATTTCTTTAAACATGCTATTGTAATACTGCTCTTGTCTCTTTTAATAGTTCTCTGAAACTCTTTACTAAATTTGTTCCTGAGATTTTTGTCTTCTGTTCATAGCAATTTCCACAATTAGTTCTGACATTGTTTGCTTTCTTCCAAATACAGGGAGGAGAGGCAATATGAAAAGGATGAAAATTTTACTTATAAATGCATGAGGATTTTGAAATATTTCCTATTAAATATTATGATTAAAGAGGTATAATAGCCTAATGTACTACCCCCAAATCGCTAACTTTTTTCCACATGTACATGGAACAGAGGCACACTAGCTCTCCAATCAAAACAAACATGCTCAATAGCAATTTAATCAGGATTCAAAAGAACACAAATTAACATCAGAACAACTAACCACATAAACCTATAGATAGCAAATAAAACCTCTTTTTAGAAAGAGAATATAAGAATACAGTATTTTTCTAATAACAGAACTACTAATTTTGCATTCTTGCTAATTAATATCTCTACTTAAAAAAGAAAGCTAACAGGCATAACATTTTAGTTCAAAACTGAGGTAAAATATAATTTCTTAAGAGCAGAGCCAGAATTTCAGAGTATTAGAATCATAGAGCTTAAAAAAAAACTTAGACCAATCAAGTCCAATCTCCTATCCAAAGAGGAATCCAAATTAAAAAATGAGCCAGAAGGCTGCTTAGTTTGCTTATTTCTTTTTTAAAATTATATGGCTGCCCATCCTAAGCAATTCTGAGCAACTCACAAAGTATTCAATTATTCTTGAATAAATTCAGGACAAGGGTTTAATCATCCATTTCGTTAGCCTTTGGTTCTGTTATACAGACTCCTAGATGTAAGGAAGCCCTCCTTAAAACAGTGTTATAAAACCCCTTGGAAACTTGAATTGGAAATTAAGTATTTGTTACAATCACTACTGCGTCCTATTTAAATATATATGAATTCTCTATCAATTAGTTTTACCAGGAACATCTGTTCGTCTCGAAGTCATGACTGTAACTCCAGATGCTTCACTATTTAGAAATCCAGGACAGGACTGCTGTTACCTAATAAAAATATAAGGTATTTTGGTCTGTTAACAATTAGATTAGAATAAAATATCTTGGCTTATCATAAAACCAAGAATATCACAAGAAAGTTCTAATCTTTTTTTAAGAATGAAAGCTGCCTAATATTTAATTTGAAGGCAACAATATGAAACAACTTGAGGAATTAATTTATCCAGATATTATCCTAATAAAGTTGTTAGGATAAAAAAAATAAAGGCCAAAATATCTTACCACAAGTTATGATGACAGAATGATGTCAAAATTGGGCATTCTCTTGCTGAAGCTGAAACTATCAAATCATCCCCAGGAGCTTCCATGCAGAAAGACTAACAAAAATTAAGAAGCAAGAATTTTTTTTAAAGTTAAAGCAGTAAGAAAAATTGCAACAGATGTTTATGTTTCCTAGTTATAGGTATGCTTAGAATTGCTTTAACTACTTTAAAGAAATCTAACTGGGTAATTCTCCAATCATGAAATGTCTTCCATCTGGAGATCCTGCAACTTTTGATATGATGCAACTAAAATATCTAGCTAGTTATATCAAAGAAACCTCAACTCGGTTGGGGAGGGGAAAAAAGAACAGTTGAAAAAACACAAATCCCATAGGATAAAAGTATATTAGTAATGGAAAAATAACATAGCATTATAGCACTCAGCACATTCTAGCATAATCAGAATCTAGCATACTATATGTAAGACCTGTATCTCTTCCTAGGTTCTACCTAAATTTTCGCATTATAGTTTTCACTCAGCCATACCATTAATATTCAGATTTGAAATACATATAAGATTTTAGTAATGTTTGTGTTAGTCATTTTGGTTTAATAAGTAGTTTTATAATAGTACTATACATAAATCACATAGATTTATATAACTTTATTCATAGTTGACTTCATAATCCTATTCCTATGTGCAATCATGATACATTGTTTTTATATTTGCCCTAGCACCTTCAATTTTAGTTAACATTGTAAGCTAAAGACTAGCACAACAGAATGGCATTCTGTTGATCAATCATTAAAAGAAAGATTATCAGATACATGAAGCAGCTTTTATGCTTATTTTAAAAGTAAAAGATCTCTAACTACAAGTAAGGATATTAAAGTAGAAATCTACTTATTGAATTAATTAATTAAAACCTAACACAATATTTACCTCACAAACGAACATAAGCACATAATTCAATGCACAGATTGCTATTTTAAGAGAGATTTACTAAGAGGGAAACCCAAGACTTAACAGAGACACATTCCCACAAGGACTGTTCTAAGCTGGTGTGGATACACAGAATAGAATAAAAGTAGTAATATCTGGATATGTAATAATAACCACAATCAGTCATCTATTATTCTACCATCATCACTGTTGATCGAAGTTACAGATTTTACTTTGTGACATGCAAAGGAATTTAATTTGATTGTTAAGGTCACCCACTCATCACCTAAATTTCTGGATTATATACAAAACATATCCAAACAATAGTCATTTACGGTCGCATTAACAATTTGTCTGTCTTACATTCAATTTAAAAAAAAACTGCACAACCACAGGAAAGCCCATTATGAATTAACAAATGCAACTAATAAGAGGAATATAAACAAAATGACCAATAGAAGTTATGCCCAAGCTTCTCTAAAAGACAAGGGCAGTTAACCTGTGAGCCCGAGAGCATAAAGCATGTCTATATTCTAATAATTCAACCCTCCATCTAATGTAAAACAACTTTAAGTACTGTAGTAACTGGAAAGCTTTACCATTGCAATCTGTTTATCATGGAGAGGTAAATGAAGACAGAAAGGATGCTGAGCTAGTAACTAACTAGTAGGAGTCTAAAACGACCTGAGGGCACATAAGCAATCAACCGGTCACCACTATATCCATATGTAACATGCTGCATTATTAAACTGGAGAATTCACTTCTGTTATTACAATAGCAGCCAAGTTAGATCATTTTAAAAGGGGATTAGCTCGGCAGGTTCACAAGAGGACCCAAGCATACCAAAAGTTGCTACAATCCGTGCCTGTTTATTATCCCTTGAACCAAGGAAGCAGGTCTTAAATGCTGGCTCCTGGAAAGCAGCCCTGGAAAGGAGCCACAGCTACCCAGGGTCGTGAGCTTCCGAAGGGCATCCCCTGGACTACTGGGCTGAAGTCCATCAATTTACACTACTACTATTGCCTAATCCGTTTTTGCATCCGGCTCCGGCTCGCCAACTTCTGGATGCATTTGGAACAGGGAAGCAAACAACGGCGTTTTAACATTACCGTGCAATTTCTCTTAAAAAAAAAACCCATCTCAGCTTTGTTTAGGTTATTAACCATTCCTTAGCAGCTGCTAGAAAAAGGGATAAAGTATTTTCCCGGCTGGGCAGAGGAGCCGAAGGAAAACGCACACAGGGCTCAGCGTGTTTGCCTCCAGCCCTAAAACGTTCAGCAGCAGCAGCAGCAGCGAGAAAAGGAGCCCTGAGCCGAAGGGCTCCAACGGGAAGCGTGTTTACACAGCAGCCACGGCACCTCCTTTCCGTAAATGGCAGGAGGAGCCGGCTAAGTTCGCCGTTTCAAGGTTTCATCATCTATGGCAGTGTTTCTCAAGCTTGACAATTTTAAGGCATGTGGACTTCAACTCCCAGAATTCCACAGCCAGCATTGCTGGCTGTGGAATTCTGGGAGTTGAAGTCCACATGCCTTAAAATTGTCAAGCTTGAGAAACACCGATCTATGGTATCTTCTGCCTCTCCTCCACGCTTCGTTTCCCGGCAGGGAGCTTCCAGGGTCACGCAAAGCCTCGGTTCTCCCCCCCCAACCCGCTTTCCACGCCTTAGCCCCACGCCGCGGGCCCCCACCAGCAAGCTCTCGCCCTTCGCTGGCCGCCGACGGGGCCCAGGCGCAGGCACCCTCGCTCGCCTCCGCCTTTCGAGGACGTACCTGCCTTGGGCTGCCTGCAGCCCCCGCACTGGTTTCTCCCAGTACTAACAGGCCCGCCGGGCCCGCACGTCGCTTGAAAGAAGAAGACGCAACAGGCTCCGCGCAAGCAGGAGGCCTGAGCCGCCGAGGCCCGGAGCCGCCATGGCGCAAATGAAACTAGGAAGAAGGGCGAGCTGACACATCCAGCCCGCCCACCGCGAATGCGTGGGCTTAGAGTCGCCAGCAGGGGGCGCCGCAGCGTCTAAGCCAGGGGTAGGCAACCTTGGCTCTTTTATGACTCGTGGACTTCAACTCCCAGAATTCCTGAGCCAGCTTGGCTGGCTCAGGAATTCTGGGAGTAGAAGTCCACGAGTCATAAAAGAGCCAAGGTTGACTACCCCTGGTTCTAAGCCGAGAGTCTTGCGAGAACTCTGCTGGTCGCGTTTCTAGAGCTGGGGGGGGGGGGGGGGTGCGGCGTGGCGGGGTTGGTGAAGCTTCATCGAGTTGAATGGGACTAGCGGGAAATCTGAGCCACTGGGGTGGAGATTAAGCATCGGGCCAGAAACCAGGAAATAAGGAGTGCTAGTCCTGCCTGAGGCACAAAGCCAACGGGGTGATCTTGGGTCATTCATTTCTTCTCAGTCCTAGGAAGGATACAATGACAAATCAGTTTTGAAAATTTTGCCAAGAAAAATGCAGGGATTGAGTCGCCGGGAGAGTCATGCTGACTCGAAGACCATAGAATAAAAAGGGAGAGGGAACTAATAATAAAACGTGCTTGCTATAAAATAAGGGGTAGTGTAACTAGTTTTTCTTTATAGTTTCCTTTCCTGCCTTTCCTTCTGGAGCTCAAGCTCCTCCCCCCCCCCCCCCACGCATGTAATACCCCTTTGTTCTTGGTTTTGTGTAATTGCAGGGAATTTCATACCTTTATACAGCATATGTAGGGCATGTAATTACTCAGCCGAGATAACAAAAGTGCATAGTGTCACTGAACGTTGAAAGCAGATGAGAAGAGATGGTACGTTTGCAAAATATCAAGAGTTTAATGTGGCCATTTTACTGCAGTCCTTTTTACTGCATTTTACTGAATTCCTTCCAATTCAGCAGATTGGAAGAATATGATGACTGTCAAGCAGGAGAACTCTCCAATGAGACTAAATTCGTTGTGGCAGGAAGAGAGTGGCCAAAGAAAAGGATGAAGTTTAAAAATGGGCTGGTTTTGGCTGAGAAGGTTTCAGAGAGAAAAAAAAATAGACAAAATCCCCCCAGTATATCTGTATGTGGAAAAGGCAGGTAGGCAGCAGCTCTTTTCTAAGTCCTTGTGGTCATATGACCCAGAGCAGAGCATCTACTATCCAGATTTCCAGGGACACATTAAGGCACACTGATCTTAGTACAGTTCAGTTCTCAGTAAATGGAGACAACTATTTTTAAAGTTTCAGCATTTCCTCTAAGTCTATATTATTCTCAAACTCAAAGCATTTCCCTTTTGGAAAACAATAAATCTAGATATATCTAAAGCATATAAAACAAGGTAGAAATAATAATATAGAGCATGGTTTCTGGAATTCTTTCCAAATTATTTTACCCATCATGAATATAAGAAGAATGTATGTATTCTCTCTTGTGAAGTAATTTGTTGAATCTGCATATGTGTATGTGCTTCTGCTTAACCTTTGTATTGTGTCTGTGGCAACATGATTGGAACCCATCAGAATAAATATATTAGCTAAGGCACATTTTTAAATCATTTAAATGCAATTGTTGAAAATTAACACTGAATGCTAGTGCTGTACTGGGGTTAGGGTGAAGTGCGTATAGTCAAGGCCATGGTTTTCCCAGTTGCAATGTATGGCTGTGAAAGTTGGACCATAAGAAAGGCTGAGCGACAAAGAATTGAGGCTTTGAACTATGGTGCTGGAGAAGACTCCTGCGAGTCCCTTGGACTGCAAGGCGTTCAAACCGGTCAGTCCTAGAAGAGATCAAGGCCAGATCCTGAAGTTGAAACTCAAATACTTTGGCCACCTAATGAGAAGGAAGGACTCACTGGAGAAGGGCCTAATGCTGGGAAATATTGAGAGCAATAGAAGAAGGGGACGACAGAGAATGAGGTGGCTGGATGGAGTCACTGAAGCAGTAGGTGTGAGCTTAAATGGACTCCAGAAGGTGATAGAGGACAGGAAGGCCTGGAGGAACGTTGTCCATGGGGTCGTGATGGGTCAGACACGACTTTGCAACTAACAACAAAAGTGTGTTCAAAACTGCAATCCTGAATCCAAATGTCCAATAGACTTAAAGCACACCTGACATGTAGAATTAGGAGGCAGGGGAAGCAATAAAGTTTGCTACCAAGGCTGAGATTGAATCAAGTAGATAAGGTATTAGATCAGGGGGGAATGCACACTCTTACATGCAAATGCCCCTCCCCAGTGGCATTTCTAAGCAGGGTGGAGAAACATTCCTCCCTGCAATCTTTTGGAATCCCAGCCGTAAAGAAAAATGATCCAGTATTTAACTAGGGATAAAGCAGAAAACAGAAAGCGTATACACACCGACAGTGGGAAAAACATAGTTCCTGATTGTAATATCGAAATACGTAGATGCAGGACAGTTTTTGCTTCGATCTAGTGTCCTTCCCCAGGGTTGTTGCCGTCGTTTAAATGAGCACGGGCAGGTTGCTTTGAAGTTATCATCCAACAGGTGAAGCGCGTCACCTTGAAGGCAGCTCCTACGAACTGTGAAGCTCTGGGCGGCAATTGCGCAGAGGGAGCCCGCCCCCTTTAACTTGAAGAGTGACGTCACGATACTCAGCCCACAGCTTGCTGCTGCTGTTGCTATTGCCGTTGCCACCGGCCGGGAAATTCTCCCGCTGCTGCTTACGTTAAGCGAGAGCGGTCGGTTACCCGGATCTCCTGTCGGAGACGAGCCGCTGAGCTCAGTTGCGCCGGAGGACGCGTGGCCGAATAAAGAAGAGGACCGGCTAAACCGAGCAGTTGAGGCGGAGGAGCTTCTGGCCGAGCGGAGATCGCTGGGAGGCCGGTTCCCTGGCCCGCCCATGGCGGCTGCTGCTGCCGCTTTCCGACACCTGAGCCTGGCGCTGGGCGCAGCGGTAGCAGCCCTCGGGTCTCTCCTTTTCATTGCATGGAAAGTCTACTTCCGAGACGCTGATGACAGCTGCGTCGGCTGGAGAAGCCGCTGGGAGCGGCAACTGGAAGCGGAGCTACGAGCCTGCAACGCACGAAAGGAAGCGGAGGTAAGGGAGCCTGGCTCTTCCGCAGCCCTGGAGCAAATGTCTCTCTTCAGAGAAGAACTCCTAGCTGCATCCGTCTCTGACCTGGAGATGGGGCTGCGATTTGGGAAAAGCATTTAGCCGGTTTTCAGGAAACGAAATTGCTGCTATTATGTTCACCCATGACAAGCATAGAACTTGGTGGTTTGGGCGTACAGTTCAATACCTTTTTATGGGGCCAAAGGAAGACCTTGAGAGGCAGTGTGCCCTAGTGCAGTGGTTCTCAACCTTTTTAATGCCACGACCCCAACCGGTCGTAAGTCGAGGACTAAACCGGTCGTAAGTCGAGGACTGAACCGGTCATAAGTCGAGGACTACCCAACCGGTCGTAAGTCGAGGACTTTCCCTAGCCGGGAGCGCCTCGCATGCGTGGTTCCGCCCCCTGTGCCAGCCGAGGCGTAGCTGGCAAGCGGCAGAGACGGAGCAGGCCAACCACCAGCTGGCCCAGCCCAAGGGAGGTAAGGCACCCGCCGGAAAAGGGGAAAAAAATGGCGGACAAAAAAAATGGCGGACAGCCTTGCTTGGCGACCCCTGTGAAATGGTCGATTGACCCCAAATGGGGTCCCAACCCACAGGTTGAGAACCACTGCTCTAGTGGTTAAAGGCAGCATGCTAAAAACTGGGAAACCATGTCTTCTGCTCCTGCTTTACACACAAGACCAGCGGGTGTCTTTGAGTTTCTTAACATTCCCTCTCAGACACAGGAAGAAGTCATTGACATGTTTCTGAGAAAACTGTAGGGACTTCTCCAGGTATTTTTGAAAAAAGTCACCAAATCGGAGTGAGGGAGTGGACTGGGGCTTATCAATTCATCCCCATAAGGATGAAATTATAGACGTAATGGACAAATTAATCGTTCACTAATGAGAGCCTAGAAATTCAACTGCTAATCTGATCAAATTGCATAATTTGTTCTTAAGATATCTTATCAGGCTGGAATGCTGTCAGTACAATATTTATTGAAAGGCTAATAACAAGGATCAGGAAATAACAGATAAGTTGTCCCTGTTTAAGAAGAGCAAAACATCATAAAAGGTAGTAGAATTATACACACCAGAAGAAATAAACATGCTGTGAGGAATTAAAGTGACTTCTATAAAAGAAAGTCCTGCATCACTTTTTGGGAAACTTGTAAAATAATAAGTAGAGAATATTTTTGGATCCAACCTTTCCTATCTACAGTAGTTTCTTTAGAAAAACTTCACTAAGTTTCTGAGAAGACTTATGGTAGAATTACAGGGACATGCATAGAGAAAGAGAAACAAAAATTCAAACAGGTTACTTTAAGCCCAATAATTGTGTGTAGGATTGCAAGCTTTTAGTCTTAATTTCCATGGTGGCACCATAGAAATATATGGAAGGAAAGGCAAAACAATTGTGATTAATTGCTTGGATGTTAAGCTGTTGAGGACTAACCTCCCCTTTGCTGATTTTGCCCTTCTAATGCTGCATTCCAGGATCACCCTTAAATGCTGAGTGTCAGGAAAGTTAGACAAAGGAAGCCATACACACAATTCATTATGCTACCAGAAAAATGTAAGAATTGCCACTGGGTTGGAGAGGTTTAAAAAGAGGATTAGATTGAAATAAATGAAGGCTAAACTTCAATTACCTCATATAACCACTTTCAATATTGTTTCCTAGTGAAGATGAACAGGAGGGTGGTACTACTCCACACTGTCCTCTTTTGTGGGTTTCTTACACTTGCTAAGCCTCTAGATGATTTGTCCAACTCCTGGACAAAATAAGCTTTTGATCTATTCCATTGGGGCTCTGCTTACATTTGATTTATTCAGTTTGTGTAGCCACCCACTTCAAACCATTTTGGTAGTACAAGAAGAAAAAGAACTTTTTGTACAAAGGATTTTGCAAAGTGAGCAGATTTACAGAGTTGAAAACAAGGGCCTAAAATTGGGTAAAGATGAAAAGAGGCAGACTTCCTCAGTTGACTTCTTCATTCTGTTCATGTGTAGATAATCAAAATCCTCATAATGCCACCGTTTCTCTAATTGTTATAAAACATTCCTTAGGATGCAGTGCTAATGAAAGTATGCCTCTTCCCTTAAGTTCCTGAGCTTTTATCCACATGGCATGTTGATACAAACTATTTCCTGAATAAATGTCCAATTGATTCTAATGGCTATTGCTGACTACAGTGATCTATGTCTCAATCGTTTGTAGTTTGGTATACATAGAACTTTGGTTTTGTTTTACTTTACTCATGTTTTACTTTACAGTTGATTTTGTTTTGGTTTTACTCATACTACGCCAGTCCCTTTGTTTTCACTGGCATAATTCAAGGCGTTAGTACTTATCCTTACAGGGTTAGAAAAAGAATCTGAAGGACTGCTATCCTCTGTGTATGAGTTTACCCATAATTTGTAATAATTTAGGAAACTTTTAATGAATTCTTCCACCAAGAAAAGCAATACTGAATGGAATGTCTATGTAGGAAAGTTGTGTTGGATGCTTCCTTGTTATGTTTGACAAAGGTTATCCCTTTATTATCTATACGATTTATAAATTGCTTTATTCCATTGAGTTTTAATTAGAGTACAGAAAATGCAGTTAATAAAACGCTCTTCCATCTCACATTTTCACTTTCATCTTTTATGCTAACTCCATTTGATTAAGTTACCAAAGGCCTTTAATCTCCAGTCTTGTATGAAACAAAACAATTTCCTACACTTCTGGTGAAGGAGACATATTCCAGAAGATAGATATGACTGAGAATGCCTCTCTAGGTTCTCTGCTATCCTAATTTTTCATGGAAGGGGACAAAATGAATGGAGAGATGCAGTCTCAGTTTCCAGGCTCTGAGCCCTTTAGGGCTTTATGGTTGATAACCAATCCTTGAATTGCACTTGGGGAGAAACCAATAGCCAGCACATCTCCTGTATGAGTGGTTTAATTCAATTATTTTTTTATAACAACCCACTCAGATTCTGGGCAGCTTACAAAATCCAGAAAATAATAAAACCAATTAAACACACATACCCAAGCAACCTAGATGAAAACAATCAGAATGATAACCTGTACAAGGCCCCCACAAATACATTAATAAACATATTAACCCCAGGCTTGGGAACAGAACCAGATTTTAAGAGCTTTCCAGAAGGCCAGAAAAGTGAGCATCCTTCATGTCTGGGTGGGGTATTCTAAAAGGAAGCAGCAACAGAGAAGATGCACTTCCTCAGTTCTATAAGCCGGCAACATTTAATAGTGACAAAGATAATTGAGGTGACAGGTAGTCCTCAATTTAAAATCATTTGTTTAATGACCATTCGAAGTTACAACAGCACTGAAAAAAGTGCTTTATGACCGTTTTTCACACTTAGGACCGTTGCAGCATCCCCATGGTAACATGATCAAAATTCAGATACTGGGCAACTGACACGTATTTATGATGGTTGCAGTATTCCTGGGTTATGCAATCACCTTTCACGACCTTCTGACAAGCAAAGTCAATGAAGAAATCAAATTCACTTAACAGCCATGTTACTAACTTAACAACTGCAGCGATTCACTTAAAAACCGCAATAAGAAAGATGGTAAAATGGGGCAAAATTCTCTTAACAACTGTTTTGCTTAGCAATAGAAATTTTGGGCTCAATCATGGTCGTGAATCTAGGATTATCTGTATTTAATCCACTCATGCATAACTTTTGAAGACCTATGGCCCATTTTTCCACATAAAGTCACTGATTCTTTATTGGCATCAGTTATTTAATTCCATCGCCACCTCCAAATCTTTCATAATCACATGAGGTACCAGTCCAAGAAACTAGTAATAAGAGCTTTGGAGCAATTACTTTCATGTATTACTCATAGGTGTGATTTATGATCCTTTCTTTCAGGATTGGTCTCCTAAATTAATCCACCCTCAGCCTCCAAAATTGGACAAGGCTGTCATTATTTTTCCCTAAAGCTGTCAAGAATGAGTGACCAATTTGGTAAATTTATAGATCAGCTATGCTCTTGGCAAGCAGGACTATTCTAAATACTACCCACAACTTAATTGTTTCCTTCTTGTTTTACTTATTGTCTCATTTGAATATTTGAATACAGCCATTTTTTTCAGTGATGAGCCAGGATTACAAGGATTGCCATTATTTTAAAACAATAACTGCTTGAACTGACCTGAACTCTTTTTCTCATAGCAGCCACATTATTGTGAATACCAAATTTTGGTTCTCGGTTTGGACGGGGCTGGAAAAAGCACCATTCTTCACTATGTATGTAGTCCAGAAGCCAAGAAGCATATACCACCTACTCAAGGCTTCAGCTCAGTGCAGCTGCAGGCCAGTGGGCTCCAGATGGATCTTCTAGAAGGTAAGCCATTTCGAAATGGGGCACAATCTGCAACACACTGCATGTCCGGCACTTGTACAGGAAAGATGGGTCTGGAACATCTTCTCTTCTATGATAGCAATCACTGGCCTTGTTCACAGAAACTACACTTAACTTCTAACTATACCATAAACTAAGCCTCAAAAAGCCTAACTGAGGTTAATAATATTCAAACAACCAGCTTTTTAAAAACTGATCTATGTTAACATAGGTTTCTATCTAATATATATTGAAGTAAGGGAAAACTGTCTTGAAGATCTTCTCCTGAATTGAATTTATGTCTTCTGTGCTGGGAATCTCTTATGTCTATGACTTGTCCATTTTTGTATCTTTCGGCCTGAACAATGCATGAGAGATGAATAGATATTTTGATGCAATGGAGAAAAATCTCCCTCTTATTTAAATCCACATCTGCATTCCAGTCATGGGAAAGATGCTTGTGATATGCTGTAAAGAAATAATTTCTCATGATTTGTTCCTCAGTGTGGGCACTGCAATTAAGCACATCTGGAGGACATCACAATGAGAAAGGATGCTAATTAGTCAACTTGTATTTTTGCTCTTTGTTTTACTAGTTGGTGGGAGCCAGAATCTACGCTTCTACTGGAACCAATATCTGAGCAAAGCCCACATTTTGGTGTTTGTTGTAGACTCTGCAGATGGCTCACGGCTTCATGTTGCTCGGCAGGAGCTCCACTGCTTGCTAGCTGAGGACCCTCAGCTGCCTTTGATAGTCTTAGCCAACAAACAGGTGAGTCCCTTGCTATCTTTCACATGCTACATTCTGAAATTGTAGCTTGATATAGATGGACTTATAATGCAAGAGCAACGTACAATTATATAACTGCATGTGACTCTGTGAGACTCCTTTGACTCACACCATTAGTTTTCCTAGATTACCATTCTGTACTTCCAAAATCTCTTAAAGTTTGCAAGAATGCAACCAAACTGTAACAGTAATTACCAATAACACAATTTCTTACTAATTTTGAGAAGTGAAAAAAGAAACATCAGCATATATTAAGCTTAATCCTCAGGCAAATGCAGAAAAATACAAAACTGTGGCTTAGCTCTTACAGGAAAGGCCTAAGGTTTTTAAAATGATTGATTTGTGTATCTATTCTAGGACAAGAGTGATGCCCTGAGTGTGGCAGAATTGCGAGAGGAGTTGGCCTTGCACAACCTGGATAGTCAGAGGACATTCTTTCTCTTGCCCACAAGTGCAACTTATGCCGGTCTGGCCACTGGAAACAGTGTTCTTCACTTGAAGCACCTGCTGGTCAAAATTCTTGCCCATTCAAGCAAGATGGAGTCTCTGTGACTGTGCCTCTCAGCAATAACTTTTTCCGCATGGTCAGGAAGCCTTTGTTCTTAAAAGTCTACCTAGGCATTCACCAAATGTGCTTGGAGAAGGAATTCCACCTACCAATATAGCCTTGGAGATAACTCCTATTGTTTTGGATAAGACGGAAGGAAAACAAAGGCATTGCTTGAGGGGGACATCAATCAATCTCAGAGACTAGCTACCGAAAGCAGCTGCTGCTCTTTTCACAAACCTAAAGAACTATAATACCAATATTTGCACTAAGACTTTGCATTCTTCTTTACTGGATCTACTAGTTGACTTTACAATAAGCAGGAAAAGATAATTCAATGACTTTATATAGCGGCAGCTAAGAAAGTCATTTCATAGGCTCTTTGCCTATGAAATGACTTTATTATTTCAAAAGCTGGGGGTTAGTCTTGGCCCATAAAGGGTTACTTCATCCTGACTGCAGCTAAGGGAAAGTAGTATGTACTGAAATTGATGGCTTGTCTAGATTTGAGGGATCCTTGATGGAATATCTTTTATTTCTGGTTAAGCAGGTTGGAACAGTTGTGCCTTGAACTGATGCCAAAGCTACTTCAGTCACTAAGACTCTGCTACCTTCTTATTTATTGGTTGATTCTTAAGTAACCTCCACAAGGTCTAAGAGAACTGGAAAGTTTGGGTTAGATCATGAAGAGATGCACGAAACTAACAGCCTCCAAACTAGTTGAGCTCAACTGTCAATTTCCCATGTTGGCTAGGAAGTTTGAGATACAGACCAACACATGCAGGTGTCCCTGATAATGGCAAAGTTGTTCAGCAGTAAAATACTTGAGTATTCCTATTTAATCTCAACCCCTCAGGGGCTCTTAAAAGTTTTTATTTCTGCTCCATTATACAAAGTATTATCTATACAAAAGCTATTGTGAGCTAGTAATCGCTGTTACAAACTACAGGTAGGCCACATCATATGGGCTACCAACATTCTCTTAAATTTCTAATGAAGAAAAAAACAGCCATTTGCCTCACCTCTGCATTAAAGCATAATTCTACATGTGCAGGAAACCAATCCCATCTTCAGGCAATTTGTCTCTATAGCTCTAATGATGTTACAAATAGAAATGATGCTGTTTCTTAAATAGGAAAATGATGCATATACTCTCTAATGCTCCCTCTTCAGGTTTTTTGTTTGGATTAAGCTCCTTTTGTACAACTTACATTTTAACCATCCCCCTCCTTTATTTATCCTATCACAGACTATAGGAAACCTGAATAATACATCTTAGCCATATATGCAATAGGCGATTGCTAACAAATGCTTTGTATTTTTTATCAATAAAACTTGTGTTGTAAGATATGACTCTGCTCTTCACTACTTGAGAAATCCTGCGTACAATTATCAGGATACAATTATTGCCAATGACCATTTTCATCAGATATTACTTGGGATTAGACAGCTTTTTAGTCCTTCGGGAGCTTCAGCAGAGAATTCAGAAGCTTCATCAATTGCAAATTCTTGTAGTAGCTGCATGACAATGTATAACTGCAGTTTCAGTCTCCAGAGATACAAAGAAGAATTAATGCTGTTTCTACTTTTAAAATTGCCGAGGAAAGATGACTTGACAGACAATCCATAATGTACCATATATTAGGAATCCTCATTTCACCATTTCCATCAGGCAGGACAGTGACTTCTTCCCTCCCATAAATATGGACTAGTATTTATTGAAGAGAGTTAGCATCCCTTTGGGATAGACCCTTACTGGAGTGTGGAGATAGCTCTTCCTGGCCAAATTTACTAGTTCTGATGCTTTAATCTTGATGCCCTCATCTTATTTCTCAGAAAGGAACCTACTATTTGAGGCTACTGTTATTGTGCTCTCTCCAAAATACTCAAAAAGTAGACAAGGTAGTCTACAATTGACCTCTGCTCTTGTAACTAACATATTTTTTCAGTATGCTCTATAATTGACACTAGGTTTAGGGAAATCATTTATGTCAACCAAGATCTCTACAAGGTAAAATCATATTTTGCCATTTTAAGAGTTATTTTGCCTTGAAGAACCATCAGAGAAATAAATAAACCTAAAAGCTGAGTGAAATTTTATACACTGCATCTGTATTTTCTTATCTCTTTTTAGAAGGCAATACTTTATGTAATTCAAGTATCAGTTTTTTAATCCCAGTTACTTAAATCCATGTCAGCAGATGAAATAATGATTCAGCATTATTATCCTCATCATAATTATTGCTCCATTTTTTCTTGCCGTAAAGATGCAATGAATGTCTGGTACTCCTCGGGATAGAAGCGTTTATACACATTGATCTTCCTCTTTATTTGTTTTGGTGTATCCTGGTAATAGTTCTTCTCATCACGAGCCATAGCCTAGGCAATAAATTAAAGTATAAATTAACAGAGAAGCAGTTTTATATCAACATATAGTTTCAGAAAGTCCCCACACCCAGAAAGCAAGCAGTACATCAAGTCTCAAGGAGAGGCTGTACATAAAGCAAATATAGCCACAGAACTGCAGTTAAAAAAAAGGTAGATTCAGATGCTGGATGCAATTTCCTACAGAATGGGGAGGGAACTAGTTGCCCTCCAGATATTTTGAATTCTGCCTGCAGCAAAGGATTATAAGAACTCCAGTACAAACCATCTGAAAGGCCCTAGATTTCTTACTTCAGTTCAAATGTCCATTTCAGAAAAATCGTACATTTTGTCAAGCAAGAAACACTGTACAAAGCAATATGGGCAAACAGAGGAAACAAATCATTTTCTAAAGCTGCCTACATAATACATAATGTATCAATAATCCTACTCTATAAATAAATACAAGACTTAACAATTATGAAAGTCATTCATATTAAAACTCATGCCCAGATCTGACTACAGTTTCTAAAAATGTGGGAGGAAAATAAAGATCCAGAAAAGTCTCTCTAGGGAAAACGTTAGTACTCAAAAGATCTTCTGTTTTAAATACTTACTCGCCTGTGAGAGGAGATCTCACCCGGCCAAGCTGTTTCAAAGGCATCTGCAGATTAAAACTCACTTGGAATTGTCCTTGGAATAACTGGAAGCCAGTGCAGGAGGCAAACAGACTGGCATGATGTGGTAGTAACAGCCAGTGCTTCTCACTTTGAAAATCTAACTATTATAATTGGGATTATCTGATCTGATTTTCATATCATTTTCTAACGATGTATTGCAGTTAAACAAAATAATATCAGATGAAAATAATTACAAAATTATCTCAGGCCAAAAGAATCAGAAGGTCTACCTTATAATTTTCACCATGATTCTGAATCATGTGTTTGACGTAGTCAATAAGGTCTGTGGAGAGGGTCTCGGATTTTTTCTCTGGGAAGCTGGCTTCATATTCCAATTCTGGGCATAAAGAAAAGAAAGCAAGAAGGTATTAAGAAATGTTTGCAGACTGTGAAACCACCTTTTGTGGAAATAGAATAGCTCTACACAACCATTACATCATGGAAGTCACATCTCTTTCCTCCAATAGGAGACATGCCCAGGCTTGTTTGAAAAAAGATGCATTATTTTCATAACAGCAGACACAATGTATTCATGTTAAACTCTCACCCTAATTTCTAATTATTATCAAACTGATTATAAAATACAGTTCGTATTCAAAACCACACCCAAAATTTTTGAATATCTGCTACATTTGACAATAAGCAAGAAGAAAAGAAAACTGCACTTAATTGGAATAGCAAGACTTCTAATGAAGGATCTCCCTATGAAGAATGACATCTGTGTCACACTCTGCCAATATGAAGTAATACCCACCATTTATTACATATGGCTTCCTAATGGTTTTTGTCTCTGCCTCTTGTCCATCGATATCCATTTTCATACCCTGTAATTTAAAAGACATGACAACTCACATCATACAAAAAGGCAGCTAGGAATTATTTTGTATTTTTTTTAACCCCAACGTTATCATTTTATACCAATGGTTAACACATTTTAAATACTTAAAAGGATCAGTAACTTTCTTTTGGTATCTAATTGGATGCAGTGTTACATCACATAGTTTCAAATTATTATATAATGCAAATAGAGATAGCTATTTTATAAGTCTTTAGCACTCTACCATTTATTTCTCAGGATAGCTATGGATGTCAGCACCAGAGGGCACTAAGTGAATAAATGAAATGCCAAGATTTGGAAATAGCTCTTCAACTATTTCAATTTCCTAAAAAGTGAGATAGTCGGGCAAAAGAAGAATTTACTTCTAAACCAAAAACTGGATTAATGACAGTTTAGTTACAATGGTATTTCTCATGCATACTTTATATTTAACCAATACTATCTGAGATTTACTGGAAAAATTCTAGAGAAACATTTTCATGATGTACTTTTTTAACCAGTTATGCCATTTTCATTTTCCAATTACTGTCTTCCTGGAACAACAATCAAATAAATAGAGCAAGCTCTTAAATTATAAACTTGATTTATACTTTTCATTCAACATTCAAGTGGTAACTTGGAATTCATACAGGACTAACCTTTGGAATGGGAATTGCCTTGTTTGGATCAACAGCCAGGCCCATTTCTGCCAAATTCTTAGAAACTGATTTGGTGCTATCCCAGGCATGTCGGATTTGAGCACTGAAGAGAAATGGGGAGGGGGGAGAGAGAGATAAAGCAGAGCATCAACGCTATGTAATCTTGAAGAGATTCCTCTCTTTTCAATAATAATGACTACACTTTTGCAATCAAGACAGTTTTTGCATACAAAACAAAGCAACAAATGGCAGCCCTCTCCCCCAATTCAAGTGCACTGGGCACTGGAATGTTAATCTGATGCTGAAAACCTCAAATCTATATGTGCCCCTCTTTCCCCAACTGGAAAAGCACATTTAAATCAGGGGTTCCCAACCCCCGGTCCATGGACCGGTACCAGGCCGCAGCATGCTAGCAACCGGGCCGCACAAACAAGCAAAGCCCCATCTGTGGGATGCAAGCAGCACACAAAACCACACCCCCTCCAGTCCACGGGAAAAACCTCTCTCCAGGTAACAGGTCCCTGGTGCCCAAAGGTTGAGGACCTCTGCTTTAAATGACAATCTGCTGGTATTTCATGACATATAAAATGGGCTGTCTATGGCAGCTATCTCAACTCTACCTAACAACTGATCCTGTACAATTGTCTAGTGCCTAAAAAAATCTTGTATTTCAACATATCTGTCTAAAGATATTTCAAGTATCATTAAGAGGCAATCTTCTTTAGCATAATTTGGTTTCATTTTCATTATTTTTTTAAAAAACTTACTCATCTTCTTGAATATTTTACCTTTTTTATACATGAAAAGGAATTGTTATAGCAATGATAATGAAGCACTTGCCGTAACTTGAGTTGAGTCATTTTCATTCTATATGTTTTTTTAACCAAATCTAATTCTGCCATTCTTCATGTTATTCTTCATTTTATCAATTCTTCATTCTAATGATCATTTGGCCCTAAGCTCTGTAACCACCAGTATTTTTCCAGGGGAAATTAGCATGGAATAGACATCATAGATAACTAAAAGAATCAGAAGTTGAACCAATATACTGCATTCCATGATTGAAATCTCCGTGGGGAGATAGTTGAATAGGAGTAGTTATCTAGAAAACGGAGAAAATGCAGGATTAAAGGAGCAGCTACTTAGTGTGCAACTGAGGAAAAGGGAAGGAAAAGTGAGACAACGGGGATGTAGGCTTTATAGTTTTAATTTTACAATGAGGACATGTGGTTTATGTTGCTGCAGTTTTTATAATGCATTATTTTCCTGTCCTTAGCCACTCCAAACTATCCAGATCCCTTTTTAGCGGATAATATAATCCAAAGAAACACACACACTGGGTTGTTTTGGGAACAAAACCCATGTTGACAGGTTTTGAAGACGATCTCGCCAACACCATTATTATTATTATTATTATTATTATTATTATTATTATTATTATTATTGTTGTTGTTGTTGTTGTTGTTGTTGTTGTTGTTGTTGTTGTTGTTTCAAAGCTTAGTTAAAACAGAGGCGGCGCTGCTATTACTGTGTAGAGCAGTGTTTCTCAACCTTGACAATTTTAAGGCATGTGGACTTCTTTTTTTTTTTCTTCTTAATTTTTTTATTTTTTGTAAAATATACATCTTCCAATATACACAATACATTAACTTTAGCTTTCCCCCCATACCCTCCTCGGCTTCCCGGAGCTGAATACAGGATCAAGTTCACATTTCCATAATTCTTCTACAATCATTAATCCAATTAAAACAATTATAATGCTAACAATCTACACACCCCTTTAACTCCAAATAAAGTATTACAACTATACTAATTTATAATCTACCTAATGCTGGCTGTGGAATTCTGGGAGTTGAAGTCCACATGCCTTAAAATTGTCAAGGTTGAGAAACACTGGTGTAGAGAAAGCAGGATTCGATGGCTTCGGGAGCGATGCTCAAACTGGTCAGACGAACCACGAACCAGCCTCCCGCATTTTAGCCTGGCGTGTTAAATCAGTCCAGACCTTACGGTTGGTTCAAGGTATGTGGGAAACGCAGAAATGGCTGAATAAATCCTAAATAACTGAAGTATTGGCAAGCACGTCGTGCAAATGCAGCCCTTCCAGACGTCTCAAATGATCGACAGGCACGAGCCCTCATACCGTATCTAAACCGACGCTCGTTTCCAAATAATGACTGAACAGCCACTTTTCCCTACTCACCATTTTATTCGAGGGGCCGACCGCTTGCGGGAAGCCCGGTTCAGTTTTTTGCGGTTGACGTTATAATTATACTTCTTCCGACGCTGCTTCTGCTTGGCTTTCGGCATCGTTGCAGCTCTCGAGACCAACTTAAAAGGGCCACGCGCTTCCCCGCTCAAGCCCTTACTGTCGCAGCCGAAGCATCAGCCGGACCAATGATCGCAATGGCAGATGGGATTGGTAGTTCTGCCTGTTCGGTCAGCATAGCCGAGATGCATTAAATTGAACTACGCTTCCCAGAGTGCCAGAGCGGAGGAGGGAATCATTTCCCAGATTCATGTGAAAAGCACGATTGGCTGGCATCGGCGCCTGAGACCTCCTTTAGCGATAGAGGAAGAGTCGCGCCTCGCTAGAGCGAATCGAGAGGTGACCTTTGCGCGTCTGCATCTGGCGAGAGCTGCCATGGCTCAGAGTCCTCCGCCGCCATTTGATCCCTACCGAGCCCCGGTTATTGAAGGCTTTACTCCGACTTCTTATCGGGGCGAGACCGAACGCTTCCAAAGCAAGTTCATGCGCAAGTTCCGCCAGAATCCATTTGTGCCCCTCGGTGAGCCTGGGCGAATATTCCTCTAGTCGAGTAGTAATAGCAAGCGAATTGGTGGAGGTCGGGCAGCGCGACTCTGGGGGAAAGCAGTGCAGTATTGCATTATTTCTTTAAAATATTTCATCTGCCTGTCCGTTCCCACCTTCTAGGCAGTGTTGAATAGTGAAATAAAAGATGACGGTGAAATAAACAGCTGGAAAAACAACCTAGCAGTCAAAAGATATCTAAAATGCGAAAAACAGCAAAAAGGATTTTATACTAAAAGCCCAACCCTGGAAGGAATAAAAAGATTATTCCAGACCTTAATGGCTCCGAATTCAGCCAGCCATCGGAAATGCCTTTTTTCTGGTCTCAATCACGAGGTCCTAAAGGGTTCCCGAGAAAACAAGTCCTGCTTAATTTTTCCTCATCATTTAGCTCAATGTTTTCCAAACTTGGTAACCCTAAGATGTGTGGAGTTCTACTTCCAGAATTCCCAGCCAGTTCTGAGAGTTGAAGTCCACACATCTTCAAGTTGCCAAATTTGATTGATTTTATTGTATCAAACAGCATAGAAATTATTGAGAAAGAAAAAGTAATCACCAGTCCCTGAGAATCGAGACTGATCAGGAAAATACTAACATTGAAAAACAAAAAATCAAATCAGTGTTGGTCCTTAACAGAAACATGAGCTGTAAAAGTGGTATAAATTAAGTTTTTCCTGGTGTGAGGGAATGGAAAAGAATGTCCTAGCTAAATACCTATGTTTAGATCTTTTATTACCCTTTTACTATGTGAGAACTAAATGTCAATGAACCAAAAATTCTTGACAGAACTGGGAGCTCTCAAATGAAAAGATTTGGTGGTTTATTCAGGAGATAGCCCAAGCCTCTGTAACAAAATTTCTTTGTTTCCTTTTCTGCCCTCTACTCCAGGCTGCCTTGGTACAGCTGGAATTTTGACTTATGGACTCATCTGCTTCATAAACAATAAACCCAAGCAATCCCAGATGATGATGAGGGCCCGTGTTATAGCCCAGGGTTTAACTATTGCATCCCTATTAGTGGGCATGGCTGTTACAAACCTGAAGTCATCCAAGTGAACAAGCTGCTATTGTACAATATGATAATATTGTCCACTAATCTGGGTAAGAACAAGCCCACCTGCCTGCCAGCACACCATATTTTGCAGAATGATATTTCAGTGCTACTTGGGAAATGATTTCTGGTATCAAGGAAGCCCAGTTTTGTTTAATAACATTGTTAATATATTCCATCATTTCTGATTTGTCACTGGTGTATAACATTTTTGTGTATCATAGCTATGTTTTAAGCCTATCTTTCTGATAAAGCCAGTAAGATTATCTGATGTAAACAAATCACATAGGATGGAGAACCTTTATCGTCTATTAGGCAGCTAGGTGGTTAAAAGTGTATCAAAAATAACCTCTTTATGGAGATTGGGTATGATGAACACATTATGTTAGTGTCAAAGAATCGTAAAGTTAAAGAATTGTAAAGTAGTTATTCCTGATGTTATTTTTTTCTGAAATCACTGTCAAGGTTGGACAGAAGTTGGGGGGAATCTAATTGTGATTTATTAAAAACTATTGTGTTAAGATCTACTGAGATAGTCTGAAATAATTGTTAATTGATAGGTACTTGTAATTTGCCTCACATACAATTTCTGAAAAAACTGCAGATAACTAGAGTAAGACCCTTTGGTTGAAGTTTGGCTCCACTGAGCAGAAGATTTGTAGATGTAGCAGCCTTTGTGCTGCATAGTGACTGGATTCCTTTGGTCAGTTGGGGGGGTGGAGTCTCCAAGGCTCATAATCTTTGGTGGTTTCAACCTTTCTCCAGTCATGGACAGTCTATAGCAGCTGTCAAGCTGACTTGCCATGAAAATCCTGATGCACATCAGAGGTCTTTACTTTTTGTTTCAGGGAAGTTACTACTTGATCTGAGTGTTGTGGACATTATCATCAGTCTATTACTGGGGACATATGCTCTGATTGTTTTATATTTTGTACCCCTTGCAAAACAGGAAGTGGAATCTATTAGACTAGACCAGGCATGTCAAACTCGCAACGTCACATGGCGTCGCACGACATATCGTGACTTTTTCCCCATTGCTGGCAATGGGGTGGGCGTGGTTTCATCGTGACGCATGCAGCCCGCGGGCCGGCAGTTTGATATGCCTGAACTAGATCATCCAAGGCAACTAATAAACCCTGACAAGTTATAGAGGGAGGTTGGGAGGTAAGGATCTGATGGATAATTTGGCTGAAAATTTGCTGACTGGCTGAAATGGACATGTGGCAAATGCCTTAGAACAGATTACACCAGTGCAGCCTCTCACTGTGCATGAATCCTGAGGTGTGCTTTGATTTTTCAGGGCACTTAGGAGATGAAATGCCAAATGAGCCACCTAGAGCACTATTGGAGGAAGATGAAGAGTTATTCAACCCACCCAAGTTAGAGCACTCTTCCTCTCTTTTTAACATCTGCTTGACAATATTGGGTGAGATCATGAATTGGTTCGGGGTCAGATACCATCGGTTTTGTGATAATACTAAGCTGTACATCTCAACCCAAGGTTGACAGAAATCAAAGTCTCGTACCTATACTTGGAGGCTATCTGGTTGTGTATATGGAGGAAGATACTCTGATTCAACTGTAGCAAGACCAAGCGGCTGCGGATGTTGGAACTGGAGATGTTCCATCGTTAGGTCCAAGTGGGAATCCATTTCATCATGTTGCACAATTTGTGGATCTTCTTGGACTCACAGTTCCAGCTCAAGCAGATGGCAGCTATGGATGGCCTTTGTAGAAATTCATATAATGCTGTGATTGCACCATTTCCTGGACCTAGAGGCCTTTCTGACAAGCACTCATGCTTCATTCACTTCTTATGGATTATTGCAGTGTACACTAAATGGGGCTGCTCTTGAAGACCATCAAAAACTTCAACTGATCCAGAATATAGCAACAACTTAAGCAATTATGGGCATACTCTTGCAACACCCCTGCTTTGTCAGCTGCACTGGTTACTGGTAGGCTTTCAAGTAAATTCATTGTGCTAGTTATTGCATAAAAAGATCTCACGACATAGAGACTTTTCTGTGGCTTCCGCCCATGCTTTATGATCAAACAGATTTGTCACATTCATAGCCATTAACAGTATCATTAGATGGAACCTGCAAAACATACCTTCTTGGTCACTATACCTGCCCTCTGTAATAATATCCTCCCACAGCCTCGCCCCAAGTCCTTGTTAAAAAGAGCTTTTAAAAACTGGCTTTTCCCATGGGTCCTGGGCTGGAGTGGTACAGACCCTTGTGTGTTATATGACTCCTTTAGAACATGTGGGTTTTTCCCTATATGTCTATTTTTCTTTTGTTTTTATTCTTTGTTTTATTATTGTATGCTGCCCAAAGTCACAATGCCTTTATAAATTTGTAAGTAAACTGCCCTGTTGTCCCCTCCCTGCCACCCTATTTCATTCCAATTTAAATTCTGTATTAGAATAGCCATTCCAAGCATATAAAGAAGTGAGTTGTATTTCACAAAAGTTTATACCTCTTAATAAAATTTGCTAGTCTGAAAAGGTGTTACCAGACTCCTGATTTTTGGCTATCGTGCAGCTCTCCTACAGTGTCAAGGGTAGGATAAATTGCATCTCTTTTCCAGTCTGCTCATTTTTGAACTTGCTAGACTACAACAGAATTGTTAACTTGGTCTTGCTAACTAATGGCATCTTCCACCTGTCACAGATTTTATAACAATTTATGCCGTTTTTAAAAACGTTTCTAGCAATTCCTTTTGCATTCAAACTGCTGAATTCCGAAAAAGTGCTAGGGAAAAATTACCATTCAACAATACGTATATATCTTAAGATATAAACTTACGCTAATATACCTGAATGTAAATCACATTCCATAAGATTTATTGCTAAATATATTTACAGATACTAAATCTTAAAATATCTTCAAATTTTAAATAGGATTAAACCTGCTTAAAGTTTGGTCATGCTTATTGTGTGTGAGAAAGTAGATGTTAAAATGTAATTTGATAAGAGCCAGAAATCTTATTAGGTTTGGAGAGAAATTTGTGACTAGCAAAAGAAAGTAAATGTAATGACTGAGCTTGCTGCTGAAAAAAGATGGCAAGATAATAATAGAGAATGTGGAAATATTGCAGTAGAAGAGAATATATTGTATATAGCTCAGGGTTGAATTCTGGAATCCTTGGTGCGCTCTGAGCTTGGTTGTTTATAGACATTTCATTACCTGCCTAGGTAACATGATAATAATGTACCAAGGACTCCACACTGGGGAGATAATATAATATACTCTATTTCAGACTCCCCCAAGGGCTTCTGGGTTCAAATGAATGTAACTAAAGCAAGTGTTCAAGGGGGTGGTAACTTAGTTAGTTACTATTGTAAGCATACTGATGTGTCCAGGATACGTCTAATCCCAGCCAAGGTTCTTGGAAGAGCTTGCATATATTTCAGTGTCTTTTCTTTCAAAATTAATGAAGAATAGATGTAATGCCAGAAGTTTAGAGAACAGCAAAACACCAAAAAGAGGACCATGGCAATGACCAATCATCCATCTTGGTATCCATACTGAGAAAATAATTTGGGAACATTTAAAAAATAATGCACTGGCCCCCTGAAGGAGCCAGCAGGTTTAGCAAGTATAGTTAACCAAAAGCAATTTGATATGCTTTAATAGGAATGACTAGCTTAGTTGTTCATTGTACCACTTTATAAAGTACTGCTTTATAAAGCCATACTAAGACCACACCTGGAATACTTCATCCAGTTTTGGTCACATTACAAAAAAGATGCTGAGACTTTAGGAAAAAGTGCAAAGAAGAGCAACTAAGATAATTAAAGGCCTGGAGACTAAAACATAGGAAGAACGGTTTGCTACAAGCTTTGAGTTTGGCTAGTTTAGAGAAAAGAAGAACTAGGGGAGACATGATAGCAGTATTCCAGTATTTGAGAGGCTGCCACAAAGTGGAGGGGGTCAACTTCTTTTCCAAAGCACCAGAGGGCAGGACAAGAAACAATGGGTGGAAACTAATCAAGGAGAGAAGCAACCTGGAATTAAAGACAAAATTTCTAACAGTGAGGACAATTAACCAGTGGAACAGCTTGCCATCAGAGGTTGTGGGTGCTTCATCACTGGAGGTTTTTAAGAAGAGACTGGACAGTTACTTGTCTGAAATGGTATAGGTTCTCCTGCTTGAGCAGGGGGCTGGACTAGAAGACCTCCAACGTCCCTTCCAGCTGTATTCTGATTGATTGATTGATTGTACTATAGTCATAGTGTATCTTGACTTTAGCAAAGAGTTCAGTGAAGTATCTCAGGAGATTCTGAGAAAGAAGATGATGGAATACAGGCTGGTATATGCTACTACTGGAAAAAAAGAATTGAACAAGTTTTATATCAAGCTAGAAAGAAAAGTCATGCGGTATGCCTCTGGACCCCGTGCTGTTCAATAAATTTATAAATGGCTTGGACAGAGTTTAAATCAAATTTGCAAAAAACACAAAAAAATGAGGAGGTAGCAAATACTTTAGGCAGGAACAAGTGAGATATATTTTAATAAATGCAAAATTCTACATAGTGAGAAATTTTGTTTGAAATCATGGGCATTCCTGTATTTTAGGAATTGAGAGTTTCAAGAAAAGCTATATTAGCTGAATTTATGTATCATGCTAGCTAAGCCATAGTTTATTGATTAAATTATAATAGCAGGACTAGTAACATCAAATCTCGGGTTATAAAGCTACAGTTGAATAGGTTTGCCCAATACACTGAAGTTTAACTTTGATTTAAAGTTATGCTTACCCAACACTGTAAGCCAAAACCTAACAAAGTGCTTTAGGACAGGTCACCAAAATAAATCCAGTCATTTTGCTGGGAGCTTAATCATGTGAAATAATGACGTTGATGCACAATCATATTGTAGTGTGTAATGTCTCTCAGAATAAAAAAATCCTATTTGACTATTTTCTTGCATCGTAGATCATTCTGTAGCATCTTATATCTGATAATTGTTACTCAAATATGTTAAACAGAGGAGAAAAGTTTAGTCTGATCGTCAGAGCAGACTGCTTTTCTCTATTGTGCCTATGGATGAATTCTTACAGCCAGTTTGTAAAAACTTCTGCCACCAAAACAGCTTGAAATTACTGCTGTTTAAACCATGGAATGGGTTTAAACAATACAGAGGTATACATGTAGAACAGAGCAGATATCCAGTATGGTTCTGAAATCTTAGGCAAGGCTAAAAGGAGTAGGGTTATATGAATAAAGAGGCTAGATTACACTTCCAGGGAGATAGCAGCAGTGGAAAGATTAGCTAATTGATGTCTATAATGACTTTAAATTCTTTGGTAGGTTCCTGTAATTAGAGTTCAGTATTCTATATTGCATGAACTTTGCTCTCATTGAGTCACACAATATACTATTGGCAGCGTAATTGTTCACCATGTACGAGTTGGCTTTATTGGGCAATTAATACATAGAAGTAACATAATCTATGCTGGGCGGGATGGTTTTTTATTACCTTGTAAAGTTGTGCAGAGCCTTGTAAAATATATGTAGTAAGATGTTAACGCTCTTCCCATTCAACCCAATATACAGCTACAGTAAATGCCTATTCAGAAGTAAAGGCTATATAGGGTTATAGTTTGATTCATGTATTAATGAACAGGCAACTGTGTAAACTATAGCTTGTCATATTGAAAAAATGGTTTATGCAAATAGTGACTATTAGTATGACTAAAAAAGAGAAGGAAAAGTTATGACACTGATCTTGTTGCCCATTTAGAGGCATGAAACATGAATGTTTGAGAATTTAAGTCAAATAGCTCATACCCTAGGTCTAGGATACTGGATTCCTTTCTTCCTTTCTGTTATTTGCTTGATAATGACAAACACTCTTTTGCAACTGTTCTGCATCTTGGGTTTCATATTAACACCTAAGTAGTAGTATGCAGGAAAATGTGCTACTAAATATAAGGCAGAAGTACGGTAGCTTATAGGATTTAAAGCACAGCAGCCCATTATTTTAAAATCTTGTCACAATGCCTGGGTTTTAAGGATTTATTTATATGCTGCACATGGCAGAATTTAGCCAAACTTGGCTGACCTCAGAAACTTAAGCAACTAATCTGGATGCACAGCCACCAAATCATCCCAATCTAGACTAGGAAATTGAAAGGCATCCCAGAAAAAGGCAACAGCAAAACTTTTGTACTACTGTCAAGAAAATTATGTAGGCATATCTGCATAGCTCATAAGAAGTCAAAGGAACCTTTCTTTTTATATGCTCAAAACTGTACTTACCCTAAGGCTTATGTATATAAATTATGCACAGGAAAACTATTTGAGGGAGGGATAGCTGTTAAATCCATTAAAATAGAATTTAAATCATTTGCATACATTTGCATCATTTGTGTAATTATATATAATTATGGAAGGAATTCTAAAATATCCTGATTTTTTAATTCTGACTGGTGTGAAAACTGGTTTGCAGGATTTAGAAAACTATGAGCCTTTATGAGGGAAAATCTTGATGTATCTTGTTTGAAAATTTAAAAAATTATATAGTTGGGTTTTACACCTACAAATTTAAGGGTTTTTATAATACTTTGTTTTGAATTGCATAACTTTTTTTAACCTTTGCTTCAAAATACTTCGCAGGAAACACAAAATATTAAGATTTCTTCATGCATGAATCCTAATGAGGATCATATATTAACAAATTTTGAAAAATATATTTTGCTAGATGTCTATTAGATTACTTTTTCAGTTAAAGAATCATAAAAAGAGAACATTCTGTGATTTTACTCTGGGATTCTAGAAGCAGTTGTTGGTTTAGTGATGTCACAGAAAATTGAGAGATAAGTTTTAATTTTTGTAAGCTGAAATGGCCAGACAGTGATTGCCACTAGGGGCACTTGGCTTATAAATTTCTCAATAGTCAATGATGGGGCAAGACATTATCCTTAATCTGCAATTGTCCCTTCATTCCCTTTGGTAGCCTTGCCATCTTTGTCACATACACCTGAATGTGGAATCTTTGGCTTCTGATAAAATGATATTCAGTAAACAACTCTCAAAAGAAAGCTTGTGAAAGTATTCAGTTTCCTCCATATTTCTTCTCTTCGCTCCAGTGTTCCAGAAGGGGTATATGTCATAGAATTCCTATGAACTTTTCATTTCAAATGACATCTTGGACTCACAGAATACAAGCCAAGGCTGTGCAAGGGAAAGACTTGCTACAAAAGTCATACAATGCTTTGCGCTGAGTAAGTTTCAGCCCAACTTATTTTCAGCTGATGAGTAATAAAAAGCACAAGCTTTATTTAAAAGAGCAACCTCTGATGGTACTACCTCCAAATGATATGGTCCTCCCAAACCCCTTTGGGGAACATTGTCAGATCTTCAAAGGATTATTTCTAACATAGCACTTTCTGATATTATATAACCCACATATGAAAAATACCAAAGTTATCAAATTAGAGAAAAAAAGGTGTCTTCCCTGGGCTAGTAATTTCAATGTATTGTGGATTTTGAAAATGTTTTACTATGTAAAAATCACATATTGAATTTACTCCATTGGGACTTTTTACAAGTAAAATGTATATGCAAACCTATGCTAACTTATGTAGTGAACATTACACAACTGTGTGTGCTGTATGTACAGCTATATTTTCATGAATGTATTTCAATCCTGCTACACAACAGCTAAGGTGAAGTAACATGCCCAGTATTTCTAAAACCACATTTTCAAAAACTAATCTTACAGTCTTACACTTCTGAATTTCACTAAAGGAGCCAAGCCCCCCTTTCTAGTAAAATGTACACCCAAAGGGAAATTAGAATTGTTGACTCTTTTTTAATTACAGCAAAAGAGATTGCAGATCGGAGCTAGTAGTATGGAACGGAAGAAAGGGTAGGAAAAACTTTCATCGTCTGACATTGCTGCTGATACAAAACTTCCTCTAGGAATCTGGAATGGAAAACATCATAGTAGCAAGGACATGAGTTGCTGATGCAAAGCCCCTAAAAACTGAAAGGGCAAATGTCTTCTGGAACAATAGTGGCATATCTATATCTGAAACCTTAAACATATTCACATGAGAGTAAGTATCACTGTATGTTATGGCACTAAATGCCAAGAAAATGTGAACATAAAACATAGTATTTAGCTGTGTGTATTAGTTATGTGAGCAAAACCAGAAGAATTGGCTTCTGTTTGTTTAAATCTACAGCTATCTCAGTGGAAAAGATCCAAAGAAGGTACCTTTCAATAACATCCAGTTTAACTCTACATTGTAGCTATACATTTAGTGTATCCTTAAGCAAATATGGAATAACCTTTGAAGAGAGGAGTGAAAGTGAAGGAAGCTGCTTGTATATCTTCTATATTCTTCCTAGACATCAACTAAGCCTAAAGATTATCTCAAAAAGAGAAATAGCATTCTCTTCAGTGCAAGCAATTCTTTGTGCAGTGGTTTCAGGTTGGATTGTAGCTTTCAGATTCATACAAATCTCATTTTTAGGTTTGCCATTAAAAATTTAGCAAACACATCTATTATTACTTCAGTTGTCCATTATCTCTCTCTCTCTTCTGCACATTTCCTCTTGAAGCACTCATTTTTAAGAGATTTCTTCAATCTGACTGTGCCTGCAATGTCCAGCACAAGTGGGAAACACAACGGAGTCCCAATCTTCTAATGGCTGGCCATTCCTGAGAATCATGCTCATCACTCTGGTTAAAAAAAAAAAAGAAAAAGAACAGCAACAGAACTGGGACTAGAATTTTGTGCCCAGCCCTAAGCTCAGTTTTAGCACTGCCCCCCGCCCAGGTTAAGTACAAATGACTGGAGAGAGGAATGAAGTTTAACCTATTAAACCAGCCAGGTCTGAGGGGAGAAGATAGAGGCAACATTAGGGGAGTGGGAAACTGAATCACCCAATACTGAAAGTGACCTTTCCTGAAGGCAGCAGGGAAGAGAGCAGTTGCCCAAGGACCACACCATTAATAAATATGTGTAAAAAGATATCAGTGCACCCTTTAAGCAAAGTAAATTCAAGGGGAGGGATACAGGCAGCCACCCAATTGAAGTGGCAGGAACATACTGAGAAGAGAGAAAGAGGCAGGGGCGGGATGCTTTTGTTTGTTCCCCCATGTTGGTGGCCTTCTAAGCCTGTGGTGATGTTGCTGCTAAGCTGGCTGGCAAAAGAGCCACCAGCACCCTCACTCCAGCCCCAGCCTCTTTTCAGCTAGGCTAGCGGGCCAGAGGGATCTGTTTGAGGGAGATCAACACTGAGCGCATGCGTGAGACATCCTTGGACTGCTTGCTGCTCTTGGGATTGAAGTCACAGAGTTGGGCCACTTTCTCCCATTCAGTGCCAGTCGTCTCTTCCTTGGACTCCTTTAGGAAGGCTTCTTCTGAGGCTCTGGAGAAGGCAAGTTAAGACACTGTCAGGCCAGAAAAGAAGTGCAACAATGTTTTGCCTCCAGACAAGGTCTGGATTGGCATAAAACGTTCACTACTGGTTAACTGAACTATGAGGTATCAAACTAACCACATATTCTGCATTCACGCTGTATGCTCAGTATAAATTAATTAGATAGGCCTGACTTGTATCACACAAAAGATTAACTTTGGTTGGTTTGTGATTCGATCTGTTAGGTGAATACAGCCATTGAGATCTGTAACAAAAAGGATTTCCCAGAACTGATTTTCCTTTTAAGGAATATTCTGACTAACATATTTTGCAACACTGACCACCATGTAAAAGGCATAGATTCTGACAACCATATCATCTGATTCTGGGTGTATAGTTATACACTACGAGCTAAATGCAGTTTATTATTAGCTATAGTTTAGCACAAGGATAATCATGATCACAGGGTTGACAAGTACTCTAGGTTTTCTGCTATCTCAACAAAGTAAACAAGAAAAAATAAATAAGAGGGAAAACAATAAATATATGTATGAGTAACAACAGAGATGGCAAAGATATACACCTCATACTTGAAACCGGGGTTAGGAGCAAAAATATGTAAATCCTGAAATGAATTGGACAAACCTGAGACTAGAATGAATTGGACAAACCTGAGACTAGAATGATTATTTAAAAGAAGCACTGCAACTTATTGGAAGGACAGTAGGAGCATACAATATAGGATTCAAGAACTGTTTGATATACAGTATTTAAGCAGCATCTCTTAGATTCTGCAATATAAGGAACATTGCCAGACTAGTATCTGGCACTGCACAAAAGTAAATAGAAAAGTAATTACAATGTAGGCTTATGTAAGGGATGCTTATATGACATGCCTTGAAGCATTTATAAATCAACATAAGCCTTATACTTATTTAGTAATAATAGCAATATATTTAAGTTAAATGCTCCCCCAACTCCCAGTGACTCTTGAGTAGTTTACAATTGTTAAAACATTTAAAAAAACAGTATCAAAAGACATAGAAACAGCAAAATAAAGTAAAGTAAAAAAAATAAAGTAAAGTAAAGAGGGGAACAGAAAGGAAGGAGGGGATATCCATTGTCCTCTCCAAAGACTTGGTCAAAAAGCCAGGTCTTTAAGGCCCTTCAAAATACTAGTAGGTATTTCTTAATAAGAAATTTGTGGCATAAGAGAATATACCTTTGCCATTTTGCTGCTTCACTTCATAGACTGCTCCGTCATTCCTCTACTATATATATAAGCTTTTATATTTCCAACTGCTCCATCAATTTATGCCTTACCTTTTTGCTATGCCAGCAAGAAAACTGTTAATTTAGAAGCATAAACACAGAAGAGACCCTTCTCCTTTATTTGCTTAACCAAAAATCATATATATAAATTTATCCTAATTATGGATGATAGAAAGTGGAAAGTAAAAAATATTAGAGCAAGACTGGAGTCAGGAAACTACATAGTTTCAATAACTATTCTCACACCACAGTGAACTATGAGAAGAAGGAACTGAGGCAATTCTGGGCCTATTTTTGCTCTTAAGAAACATTTAGGCAAAAAGCACACACTGGAGCTCCGCATGCACGGTCCCATTGAGAAAAACTGCCCCCACCCCCTGAAAAATGAGCAAGAGAGACATACACATAGCCAATCACATCTGCATCTGGCTGCTGGTAAAAGGCTTTGTCAGCAATCCTGCGGCAGGGTCCAGTAACAGGAGAAAGGGCAGAGCAGAATGGAAGCAAAGAGTTAAAAGAGAGAAACATAGATTAGTAATACCCTTAAAAGTGGAAGAGGCAGAAATAGATGCTATTTGAAAGCATTAGTAGCTCAGGGAGTTAGAGGTTCATTAATCACATGTATAGGAAAGAAAATGAGAATATTTTATGGAAGTAAACTGCTTGTCATAATGCCCCCACAGTGACAGATCTGGTGCCGAGACAGCTAGGTTCTAAGAACTAGAATTAACTCTCCCAAGATTACTTTATTTACCTAACCAACAAATGTTTAATTCAGTTAAAATTTACATCCAGTAGGATGCCCTTTCACTTGTTGCAGATCCAGATGTAAACAAGTCAAGAAACTTTTTTCCTAGCTGTACCTGTTATTGACCTGGTTCCTCTCCATTTGTTCATTCTGCCTTATGTTCCATTCTTCCAAGTCCTTCTTGGCCTTTTCACGCCATTCCTGTTCTAATACTTTAGAAGCAGCATCTAAAACCAAGAAAAACATATCGTGAAAGATATAAAGGAAATTCCTAAGGGTCTTAGCAAGTTAACTAGCCTAAATCGAGCCTGGCACGATCCGATGTATAGAACGACATCTCCATCATCCCCAGCAAAAGAGAGATACCCTGGATAGATATTGTCATAAAGAACTGTAAGGTTCTCAGGCTAAGAGAAAGATATTAGTCTCCATTTATAGGAAGAGAGGCCGCTAGAAGCTATGAATGACAAGGACAAAGGTATAGCCTGACATACATGAAATTTATAGAACAGAAACCACAAATACTACAATAGTTAGGAAGGAAAAAAAATAATGCTTATTAGCTACATCATCACACTGATGTATTTATTCAGCTGATGATAGAAGTAAAACTTGACATAATATATCTCATTATTTCTTATTCTACAGTATTATTTTTATTTCTCTTCCCCCTTCCTGATTATACTTACATTCATTCTCTCTACTCTCCTAATCTGGGAGCCCTCTTCAATTCTGCTGCCCAGTTTATATTTTCTTTTTGTATCACAAACCCTTTTCTAAACAAATCCCAGCAGCATTTTTTGCATTCTTTAAGGAAGTTTTTCTGCTGGTTCAATCTCTTCTCCACCATCTTCTCTCCTGCTCTACAAAAATTCTCCTTATACATGCAATTCCCATACGCAATACAATTTTAAAATATAATTTAGAATATAATTTACATGAGTATAGCTATATTTGAACTCCAGCTCAACTCCTGAGCAAATGTTTTTATCCCTACCCAACTCCTGCAGTCTCTTTTTCTGTTCCTCTCGCCATTTGCGAATGCTCTCAGGCTCCTGTGTCAAACGGTCAGCTCTGGCAATGGCTGCATAGGCATCTGTAGGTCCATTGGATTCCTTGGGACAAAAGAAACTAGATGAAATGTTGGTCTCCCCAAACAAGGAATGATTAGGAAGCAGAACATAGAGGAGTCTACAATCCTGTCAAAAAGTCTTGCATAAGATTATAGGCAAATCCTAATCCTAACAGATTGGGGGTTTGTTTAAGCATAATCCAGTATTTCCCCCCAAAGTTAAATCAAAGAATGTGATATAGAAAACTGAGAATATGAGGACACTCTGAGGGCTCCCTCATGCAGAAACTAGCACAATTAGCTGCAGTCTTATAAAAGCAGATACTTTTCAAAGTTACACATTTAACTGATTCATGAACATCTCCATCAGCCATGTACCTGCCTTCTCTTAATCAACTTGCCTTGTCATTCACTGCCAACATGATTTTCATATCTGTGCTTCAGGTGAATTCCTGAAATTCTAAGGGGTAATAGCTGTAAGACAGCCGTTGTGATACAATTCTTATGATGTCACAATCTTTAAAGGGCCAATGTCTTGCTGCAATCTTCTCTGACCAGAACTAAGGTGTTGATTTCAGTTGAGTTTTAAAACTGCCATTTGTGTCAACTGTTGTCATGGTAAGAACCATTTTCACAATCTAAGGCTGAAATCACAAGGGAAATGCTAAAGGTGGTCATCTTCATGAAAAGGACAGTAATAGTAGTAATTAAATAAATCAACTGCAAAATTAAGAGGAACCCCTCAATACAGAGTCTGTTTATAGACCATAATTTTGAAAATGCTGGGTCCAGCATCAGGTTCCTGTAGTTATTTCCAGAAACCTGTGCTGTAGCTTGTTTTTACATAAACAAAATGATCCTATGAACAAACTTTCCAACTTATCTAGAATCATCCAAAAGGCTAGCTAGTTTTCTTCTGTACCTCTTATTGCACCCTCCAAAATTAAAGAGAACTGAGTTTTATACACTGCAGATAGGAATGCTGATTCTGGATCTACTGCTTCAGGTTGGGCTAGATCAGGTTCATCTACAGCTTCAAGTTGGACTAGATAGGTTACAATAATAAATTGTCATCTGGAGTTGCCTTCTCTAGAGGTGAGTGGGAGGCAGATTGCTCAGTCCAAAAAAAGGATCTCTGAGGTATGGGGAAGGTGGTTGCTTAAGAGACAGGAGGAAGAGAAAAAGAAAGGGGCATGTGCACTTAGAAAACTATTTCTATAATACTGCTACTTATAGGGTTGAACACATGCCAACTCAACCCTGAATAAGCTAAAGTTTCTATAATTTTGTTTCTTCAGTTGAATCATGCCAACTTATAGGGTTGAACTTATAGGGTTGAACACATGCCAACTCAACCCTGAGTAAGCTAAAGTTTCTATAATTTTGTTTCTTCAGTTGAATCATGCCCAATTCTTGGAGGCTTCCTGGACATGTCCCTGCAGTTTTCTCAGCAAGGTTTTTTAGAAATGACCTACTGTTGCCAATATAATTACATAAATCAAACTATAATTATGTGACTCTAAATCACACCAAGAAGAAGCCAAAAATTCCAGTAATAGCCAGCTGCCTTTCCCACTGATCTCAGGCAGACAAGAGGCTGTCACATGTCCTGCTGTAGAATGGTATCCCGTGAACAGTTATGCCTCTGATCCGCCTTAGTAGCTCTTTTAAATGATTTCCCATACACATTGCACTACAAGTGCAGGACAATACAGAAAAGCGAGGAAGATAAAGGATTTTGTTTGAAAAAAAGAAAAGAAAAGTGTACTGTTCAATTCTACTAGCATAACAGGGTTCTTCTACAATGTAAAAAGGCACAAAGTTGCTATTCGATAATCATTATCTTGGTATGCAGATTATTTAGTACAGTCAGAGCATTGCCTCAAAGGAGCTATTGTCTTTTTCGAGTATTTACATTATTCCAAGATAGCGGGGGAAAGTAGATAAAAACCACACAGAAAAATGCTTTCTGTGTGAAGGTTGGAATTAATAATATAAGGATATGCCTGCAATTTTCAAGTCAACATTCTTTCATCCAAAAAAAAGGAACAATGCTAGTTTGTTTATATTTGTGAAGTGCTTGATATAACTGAAAGACAGAATTATTGCATTGGAATTTTCAAAGCTAAATTTTGTATTGGATGGAGAGTAATGTAGCAGTTCAATTTACTGGAAGTTAGTCCCACAAAATTAAAATGGATTTAGTGCTAAATAAACATACATATAATTGGACTGATTCATGATTCCCTCAGTACAAACCGAAAGAAAAAGGAACAATGCCTTTTTTGGCTTTTGGATCTGGTAGAATGTTACTGTCTTTTCCAATCTAGCCTCTTCCAGACCAGTTAGCAAGGGTCATATCTGTTGAAAATTAAGGAAGCAGAGGTCTAACTCACCTAGAAGGTATAAAAAAGCTATCCATGTCAATGCTGTCCTTTCGATACTTCCATGTCTATGTTTAATTGGATGTTCAACTTCACAGCAGTCATTCTCTCCTTACAATCATAATTATCTCCCTCAATAATGTCAGTGCCTTCAAATCTACCGGTTGGTTTTAGAAGAAATATTTATAAGCTCTTACTGTAGATGACTGATTGGAACATGGATAAGCACCATTTTTTGTGGCTTTAATTTTTATCAGCCCATATGAGCACAACGAATGAAAAGGAACTATGGAAACGGTAATCACCAATATCTAGGGTAAGGGGATGCTTATAGAAGAGAATATATGTACCCCAGAGGTGAACTGCAGAGTTCTTGGTGCTGTCTGATCTTGGTTGCTTGCAGACGTTTCATTATCAGACCAGGTAACATAATCAGTGCGAGTAAGTGTGGGGCTGGTTTCCTGTTTATATGCAGTAACATATAAGAGAATTCTATTATGAACAACTTCAGTCAAAAACTGAAGAAAACTTACTAGCATTGCAATGTGCTAGTAAGTTCACACTATTTTCCCCTTTTCTTTGAGTGACAAGCAAAAAACCCCCAAATGCTCCAGAAAAGAATTCTTAAAGAATTGTCTCTAAGGTTGGACTACAGCTATTCTTCTGTACATTATATCAACTTATGAAAGTTGATATGTGATTTAGAGCCCCAGTCAGTTCAGACTCTCACCTGAAACACATCACCGTTCACAGTAGTTCCTCCTGTGTTTTCAAAATTAACTGCAACAAAGGGAAAATATTAAAGTGTTATTCAACGTTCAAGTGTAAGAGAAAACAGTCAGTCACCAGTTACTTGCAAAGTTTAACCTGCAAAAGACAGACCAGCATCAGACTTTATTTTGAAAAGTACTTCCCTGTTTGGCTAGATGGGGAGAAAGCTATTTAACTAAGGAATAGGAACACATAAAACCTGTAAAAGGTGATATGGGCCTCCAATAGAGCTGAGGTCAAAAATCTGGGAGAAAAACAATTTGTTAAAGGAAAAATCTCCTGCAAAGTGAGACTTTTGGTATCTTCATAGTCACATCCATGTAAGGTTTTTTTGGTGGTAATATAACTGTGGTTTGCCATTGCCTTTTTCTGAGATATTTTCAGATTTTCAAGTCAAGGAAAAGAATGAATATTTGATTTGTACTTTTTCATGCTACAAAGTATACTGGTCCAATTAGTAATAAGGCTACTGAGTTTAGGATAAAAGAAGGTTGAGTCTCCCCTGCCACATTTACGTCTTCATTTCACTTCTATCCACATCTGTGGTGGTTAAAAAATGAGATGAGAGGCAGCAGAGATGCTGCATATGACTTATGCAATAAGCCACTTAGCATTGTACATCTGAAGTGGTATAGAAGCATTTGGAATAAATTATTAAATGTTACAGTCATCCATTTCTATGTCTAAAAGCCAGAATGGAAAAATTAGCCATATAAGAGATGAATAAATATATCAGAAATCATGAATACCAATTGTGATGAAAGCATTTTAACTATAATTTCATCTGATATCAGGGTGTGGACATCAGGTTTGGCTAACTAAAAATGGTTTAATATTCATCTGCAGTTTGCTCTGGTACTCTGGGGCTACTGATTTGTAAAATTCACCAAATGTACACTGTATATAGGATTATTGTTATCTATGCATTTAATAGTCCATAGTTTATTTTACAATTGTGTTAAATAAGCAGAAGTGATTTGGTTCAATATAATCCTGCCATAAATCATAATTTATCTACTCTAATAGCTGGATTCATGCACTGCATATTCTATTTTGCACTCATCCATTTTCTCACACAGACATTTTTCTGTTGGGATCATAAAATGGTAAAAGGGTAGACAGTGACATTTTATACTGTATAGCTCATTAGAGCAACTTACTGCCCTCTAGATATTTTGGATAAAAATGCCCATAATCCACACCTAGGAAACAGCTATGTAGTCTGACATTGAAACGAATAAAAATCTGAAAGTGATTAAGCTCTAGATATGATTAATCTACTCTTGGACTGTAGTGGAAGGAAATATTTATCCCCCCCACCCCTCATTTTTAGTTTTAAAAGCACAGAAATTTATCCTGTCCTGATGCTGGCAAATTATAAGGCTTAACTATTGCCACATGCTATAAAGATTCTTGAGCTTACCTCGAATTTCCAATATTCAAGTGATTTTTTTAAAATATGTGACATTTGGTATCTATGAGATAAACTTTATTTCTGAAGCTCCATTTTGCCAGACTAGGATTATATATCACACTAAACCAGTGGTTCTCAACCTTTTTAATGCCGTGACCCCAACCGGTCGTACGTCGAGGACTAAACCGGTCGTAAGTCGAGGACTAAACCGGTCGTAAGTCGAGGACTAAACTGGTCGTAAGTCGAGGACTACCCAACCAGTCGTAAGTCAAGGACTTTCCCTGCCCGGGAGCGCCGCACATGCGTGGTTCCGCCCCCTGCGCCGGCCGAGGCATAGCTGGCAAGCGGCAGAGATGGAGCAGGCCGACCACCAGCTGGCCCAGCCCAAGGGAGGTAAGGCACCCGCCGGAAAAGGGGAAAAAAATGGCGGACAAATAAATGGCGGACAAAATAAATGGTGGACAGCCTTGCTTGGCGACCCCCATGAAATGGTCGATCGACCCCAAATGGGGTCCCGACCCACAGGTTGAGAACCACTGCACTAAACTATGTTTTAAACAACACTTTACTGGACATACAGTATAATAATTGTTGGGTTTGGATAGAACCGTGTTTCCCTGAAAGTAAGAACTAGCTTGATTTTTGGGGGTGGGCCTAATATAAGCTCTACCCTGAAAATAAGCCCTAGTTTGGGGGCGAGGTTCATGCCTCAAAATCAAGCTAGAGTGGGGCTAACGGGGTGGAGCTGCACCCCGCACCCACTTACAGGTAGGACCGCCGCAAGCAGGCCTCCTACGCCCTGACACTTGTCACGCTATGTGGCTCATCGCACTGTTCCCACTCCTCGCGGCAGGAGGCCGCATGGTGCTTCGGGCCATTGCTGCTAGTCACGGCAGGATGCTACGTGGCTTTTCGGGTCATTGCCCTAGTCACAGCAGGATGCCGTGTGGCGTTTCAGGCCGTTGCTGCTCCTTGCAGCAGGAGGCTGCACAGTGCTTTGGGCCATTTGCAGAAGGCCTCATGGTGCTTCAGACGGTGCTGCCAGTCAAAGCAGGATGCCACACGGTGCTTCAGGCCGTTGTCGCTCCTTGTAGCCGGAGGCCGCATGGTGCTTCAGGCCACTGCTGCCAGTCGCAGTAGAAGCCTGCACACTGCTTTGGGCGGTTGCCGCCAGTCACAGCAGGATGCCACATGGCGCTTCAGGCCATTGCCACCGAAGCACCATGCAGCCTCCTGCAAATGGCCCGAAGCGCCACATGGTGTCCTGCCGCGACCAGCAGCAATGGCCTGAAGCACCATGTGGCCTCCTGAAAATGGCCCAAAGCTTCGTGCAGCATCCTGCCATGAGCAGCGGCAATGGGCCCGAAGCACCATGCAGCCTCCTGCAAATGGCCCAAAGCGCCACACAGTGTCCTGCTGTGACCGGCAGCACCGGTGTGAAGCACCATACGTGGTCCTGCCACGACCCAAGGCACCGGCACAATGTGCCATGTGGCATCTGGCCACAAGTGGCGGCAAGCGGCCACTGAAGAAGTCAAGCAGCAGCGCGACAGGTGTCGGAGCGTGGGAGGCCTGGCTGCGGCGGTCCTAAGGTAAGACATCCCCTGAAAATAAGACCTAGTGCCTCTTTTTGAGGCAAAAAAAAATGTAAGACCGGGTCTTATTTTGGGGGAAACATGGAATTTAACCCATAAATCATAGGTTATAAAGCACATAGGTTATGCAAAAAGCCATAAGACCACACTATTGCTTATTTATCTTTTACTATGGGCAACTGAAACAGAAATAAGTCATGCATCTTGACTTTTTTAAAAAAAAGTTTGTTTATGTGAATTTAATAGCTACTCAACTCAAATGGATTCAAGCATCCTGGAACACTTTTTTAGTCTTTTCTCACTTTGCCTTATTGATTCAAAAAAGCCAGTTTGGTCTAGTAATTAAGTAATTAGGGTAGAAACTAGGAAACTGAGTTCTGATCCAGCCCTAGGCATGAAAGCTGGCTGGGTGACTTTGAGCCAGTCATTCTCTCTCAATTCATGATGTCGGGCTTGGGCAGCAAGCCAGTCGGACAATTTCTGTCACAATTAATGGGTCAACACTTGACTGATCTGAAAAAAAGTGGACCGTGCACTTCCAAGAAAAACACTAAGAAATAAAAACTGTCATAGATAAAAATATAGATTTATGTACATATGGCCATAATATTGGACTCAGTAATAATAATCAATCCAGAGGAGAAGTTACTGAATATGGCCTGGATATAGCCATCAGATATGGGCTTCAAAAATATCTGGCTTACCACTAGACAGCAAAGAGATAAAACAATTTCTTACATCCAGCAGCTATCTGGATATTGGCAGACTCAGTCTAATACAGTAGCCCTAGGTCTGTATGGTGGTAAGAAATCCTTAGCAACAGTTTAAACAGTTCCTGGGATTCTGGGCTCCTCTCCTGCATCTGTTTGAAAGGACCAGATAAAGTATGAAAAGAGAAGCTGTGACTAAACAGTTTTTTTTTCTTGTATAGGATGAAACAAGTTGTATCCTAGCAGTAAGTAGCAAATATAACAATTTGCAAGAAAAAAGCTATATACCACCTCCACTTAGTGGGGAAGTCCAACGTCTCTAACCTGAGACCCAGACAAAACTATATGCTCTCCACTCTGAAAATGTAAATGAACAAGGAAAAAAAAATAAAGGTGGATCTCTATAGCATCAATACAGCTTAAATTTCTTGCTGGAGAACCAGAAAAGTTTCATGACAGCTACCATAGGGAGAAGCAAGAACAGACCTGTTTACTTGCTCTGAATCTGCACTTTCAGCAGCAGTAGGACATACAGAAATTAACCGGTACAGCTTTGTTTTGGCAATGCACAGAAAAGACTGCCTGCTAAACTTTCAGGTGTCCCAACTAGTAGGAAAGTATGACAGTGTAAAAACACAGAGCTTTAGATGAATTCAGCTTTAAATGAAAAATAGTATTTGGGGGTTGCGAAGCACCTTTCTGTTCCTTTCTTTCCCCTGATATCACCCACATTTTGAATATTAGGCTGCACCCAGATCTGGTCTGGCAACCTTTGTGAGGCCTCTCCCAAAACTAAACAAGAACGTCAATCTGCCTACGATACATCAACTTTTAATTGTCACCTCTTCTTTCTGCAGCCTCTTTTTCCCAGCCCAGTGCTTGGGCCAAATGCCATCTGTTCTTGTCTTAGCCAAAGAACACATTACTTACAAAAACAGGGCTCCTGATGGATCTTGCAGTGTGTGTGTGTGTGGGGGGGGCTCTTGCCTACAGACTAGGCTTGTTTCTCTTTCCTTCTTCTGTGGTTATCTAAGGCTGCACTAAAGAGTCAAAGGTGTGTTTGCCTCTTCTGAGAAAACCAACCCATAGCTGGTTCCTGACGCAGAGCTGGCTCCAAAGAGGGAAGGTGACAAATCAGCTAGTTCCACAGAGCAGAGATTCAGAGTAATCTCATACGTATTTTGTTTGTGCTAAGCCATAGTTAGTTTCAAACAGTTCACAGAACAGCCCTAATTGCTTTTACATGAAGCCAACACAAAAATCAGGCGACTGGATAGCTTAACGTAAAGGCATAAACCCAGTTGCGATTTATGGTGCTGCCGCAGAAGAGTCACTATTATGGAGCCTCAAAACTTTAACATCCTGCCTTTAAATTAGGAGCTCAGGATAGTGCATGCAGTGTCCCTTCCTCTGATTTCTTCTCACAACAACCCTCTTTATTTATTTATTTATTTTTCATAATTTATATGCCGCCCTTCTCCCCACGGGACTCAGGGCGGCTCACAGCATATTAAAATAACACAATACAAACAACACACACAACATTTCCCCTATAAAAGCCAATTAAAACCAAATATTTGTAGCTGTGACATTATTAAAATCATTAAAAATTATCCCTATTTAAAATTCTGAGGTTGATTGAGCTGAGGGGGAGTATGACTGGTTCCTAAGTGCCAGCAACAACATCCTGTGGCTGAGGCTCCTTTTCACAACTTAAGAACAAAAGTGGCCTTCTAGAAAGGCTGGCAAGAACGCACCACTGGCAACCTGTTTGGAAAGATGTATTTGAGACTACAATTCCCATCACCACTGGACTTGGTGGCTTGGATGAGGCCTCAGCACACGCGCCTCTTCAGTTTTTGCTGGCTTTCTCTGGCAGGCTGAGGCTAGGCAGCCACCGAAATGGCTGATGACTGGCTGTGCGCCCTTCGGGAAAGATCCCATTTTTCCCGACATGCTGCCCCCTCGGTCCCGCGGCGCCGTGCCTGGGCAGGCCACGTGCACGTCCCCTTCGTGTAGGATGCCGCCCGCCCTCCCGCCCGCCTCCCCTTCGCCCCGCGCGCTCACTCCGAGGCTCCCCGGCGGCCTCCTGGCTGCCCCTCGCGGCTCCTTCGGCGCAGCTGATGCCCTCGTCGTTCTCGATCCCCGCAATCTCATTCTCCTGCTGAGCCAGGAAGGCAGCGGCCGGGTCCTCTTCGGCGGCCTCGGCTGCTCCGCTTTCCGAGGAGGAGAAGAAGCCGAAGTCATCCGCCATGGCGGCCGTTTCCCGCAGCTCTCAAAGCCCGCCTTCCTCCGCAATGGGCACGTTGAGCAGCGCCCGCAACCTCGGCGGCCGAGAGACGCTCCGGGAGCCGGCCAGCCGAGCAGTGGGCGACCAGGAACCGCCGGCTCAGCTGTCACTGCGGCGCCCGCGGGAGGAGACTGACGCGGCGAAAGGAGGTGACCTCACCCGCCAAGCTGCTAGCGCATTCCGGAGCCATTAGAGGGAAGCAGCGGCCGCCTTGGATTTCGTTCAGCATCAGCTCTGAATTTCCGCTCCCTGGAGCTGTGGCGTGGGAGGATGAACGTCCATCCTATTGTTGGGAATGTTGTCGCATCCCAACATTCAACGGCATCGTGATACTCTCCGAAGAGGTGCTCTCTACAAAGCACGGGCTCTGTTGCTGCTTTGGTGATGGCCAAGCCAGCAAATAAACTAGCAATTTGCAATCTTTTTAAAGTCAGCTGCTTGAAAAGTTCTACTTGCTTGCGTGCCTGCTTTCCTCGTCTCTTTTCCCCAGGCATCTAAACATATGCAGCAATGACCTTTTTTAAAAAAAAAAATGTTGCCATAATGCCTTCATTGGCCCCCAACCTACAAATAAGTCAGTTTAAGTTTAGCTGTATTACTGTATGTTAAAATAACGCTTTCCCCCTTAGCTGATGGCACCATCGATCTAACCAAATCAGGTGAATAATGAGTGGGAGGGTGGGATCAAAGCAGTATCAAGTAGTGATCAAGCACTGTCTCACTTGGCCCTGATCAGCTCTCTCTAGAGAGAGCTCAATATAGCACTGCTGGCCAGTCATCTGTCAGAATTGTGCAACAGTGTTAGGTTGCAGTGGATGTTTTAACACTATGCTCCTTGTCAATTTAGTGCAAGGCTGCAACAGTGAAATAGAGACTATCTCATCCCATCTCATCACCTCTGGATCAGCACCCACAAGAATCCAGAAGATGGCATTTGTGGTCTTTAGAAAGCAAAGGAAAGATATATAAATTAAAAATAAAGAGACTGCTTATGATTGAACTCTCTTTGTGATTCCAATTTATTATTTTAAAAAAATATATTCAGCTTGGGATGTCACAGCTATGGCACAGGGAAATGACAAGGTGCTGCAGCCAAAGGTGCCCCAATCCTGCTACAGTGCCATGATTGGTGGATGTTTTTCCCAACCAAGTAGACATGTGCAAAAGATATATGGGACAGCAGAGCTGGCAGAATCAACTTTATCAGGAGCTACACATGAAAAATCAGGACAGACCATTTAGTGCAGTGGTTCTCAACCTTTTTAATGCCGTGACCCCCAACCGGTCATAAGTCGAGGACTAAACCGGTCGTAAGTCGAGGACTTTCCCTGCCCGGGAGCACCGCGCATGCGTGGTTCTGCCCCCTGCGCCGGCCGAGGCGTAGCTGGCAAGCGGCAGAGATGGAGCAGGCCGACCACCAGCTGGCCCAGCCCAAGGGAGGTAAGGCACCCGCCGGAAAAGGGGGAAAAAAATGGCGGACAGCCTTGCTTGGCGACCCCCGTGAAATGGTCGATCGACCCCAAATAGGTTGAGAACCGCTGATTTAGTGAGTCAGTGTTGTTGACTCGAGTTGAGATATGATCGGGATCACCAATGCAAGCAAGATATTTCATGCTAGTATAGTTTCCTGCTTGCTGAAGGATGGTTGGCTATTATTTTACCTCAACTGAGAGGAAAGGCTAAGAATAAGAATAAATATACCAGTTTATAAAAATACTGTACATTCTCACAGATAAACCAAAAATTTAGGTGCCAAAATACTTCTTCAAAATTGGGTTGGGCTTATCCATGAATATATACAGTAATACTTTTAAAAATACCCATCTTTCCCATGTATGCTCAAATATAAGCAGGGATTTTAAACCAAAATTGCAGGTCCATAAGTGGTGCAATGTTCATGATATTTTGGTTAAAAAATAGAGGGTCAGCTTATTCACTGATGGACATTTATGCAAGTATGTATGATATGAGCACATAATATACTAAACCATGCTTTGCAAACTTTAAGCTATTAAATCATGCTTTATAAACCATATTAACTGGATTCATACAGTACGTTATCCCAGAATAGTGTATGCAAACTATTCTTAGTTTACTAATTAATCATAATTGCCTTGGTTTCTGCATTGCATTAAGCTACAGACAATCTTCTTATGACTGAATATGGTCCCAATGAATACACTATTTAATGAGTGTGTTCTCTGTAATGTATCATGAACCACATTGCTGAAACATACCTATGATTCTACAGAGAATTATCTTGCATATCTGATATAGTGGAGTTTTATTTATGAAAGCTTATGCCTCAATATATTTCTTAGTTACCTCTATTCAACAGACTATGCAATATATCCTAATAATTTGAATTTTATGAAAAATGTCCAACATAGCTGAACAAAGCTGCAATTCAGCAAATGGAACCTTAACCTTAACTTAGTATCCATATTCAGGGAAATGTGAAACACAGATTAATTATCTCTAGTTAAAAACTCCTGTAGTATTTATTACCTTTGTAATTTTGTATGGACTTAGTCTAACAGAAATTCTATGAAATTGAAGTAAGTAGGCGTCAGATTGCAGCTTTAAAACACATCAATAGATAATGGGGATTCTCTATGTTTAATGATTCCTTTTTTAAAAAGTCACACAGTTTCAATTTGAGCGATAGTTTTGTTTTTTTAGTAATGTGCTAACTAGGCCATATTGCCAATATCCTCATTCATTCATTTGTTCCTGAAGGTGAAATATGGGATCAGCCAAAAGCCCTTAACTCTTTCTCAGGGAAAGTAAAACTGTCAACTCAGCCATAAAACATTTAGAAGGTCATAGAATGCTGATAAGCTGGGAAAAGATACTGAGAGGCCGGCAGAGTTCTGGGAAAGCAAAAGCAAAGTGACTCCCTAGAAAGGAACTATGTTCGTGAAATATTATCTCTTTGTTCTTTCAAAACTTCAGTCTTTGTAGTCCTGCCTCATTATACTTATGGTCTCACCGATCTCACTAGGTGCATTGCATACTATATGCAATCAAATGATTGTGCTACCAAAATCACATGTATACTGTAATTTGAAAAAATACATAAAGAGGGATTATACAGTAATCCCTCCCTTCTTTATGACTGTCTTTGCCTCCAGCACTTACAATAAACTAATCTGTATTTCATTGCAGTTATATCCTGGTCTCTGGTTCAAACATAAACCTAAGAAAACTCTTCTATACCTTTCTAACACTTGTTTCCACATGTTTTGCTGTGAGAATTTACTGTATAATTTGAAAGGATCATGGATAAGAGACATTGTCTCTCTCTCTTCTTTCTTTGGTTTCTATTCCATATACAGCTATTATTAAAAGGGACAGAGTGCTATCACAAGTCCCGTAATCTTCTATAATTCCCACCTATCTTGCCTAGAAATCACACTGCTCCCTTGAAGGCAGGGCATGGGAAGGAACATTCATGCACTGCCTTCTGATTCATCCCTCCAAAATTCCCTTCCCCAGTTCTCTCCTTCCATAACAGGATAAAGCAGCTTAGATGAAGATGTTTAAGTGACACAGTAAAAATCTAGTTTATTCAGCCAGACGTTCTAGATTTGCATAAGGCACTGAACCAAATCATATTGAATGAGTTCAACCAATGCACTGTACAGTAGCAACCAGTCAGACGCATATTGAAGATTCATCCCTAGCAAAGGAAGAGCAGAAGAAGGGGTTTTGTAAGATATTGGGTCTCTTCTCTGGTTTTGCCTTCAGATTCAGATTGCCTGTGCTGAATTCTTCTCCCCTATCATTGCTATTCAGTAAGTCTCTTTGAAATAAACCAATCATTGGACATTCAATTTATGGTTGTTCCCAAATGGAAATAAGCACCCTTGCAAAATATTGTATGCAAAAGAAGAAAAGAGTGTCACACTTAATTCTTATTGAAGATAAGAGGAAGGGAAGGGATACATGACAACTTATCTTTCTTTCATTTGGAAATGATCCTACCCAGGTGATTCATCTTCCTTCCCTTACAATAGATGGCTGGTGTCTGATTAATACTGTATAACATGCCTTTTCAGTGGAGAAACCAGAACAGTTCAGACTTGGTTTAGTATATTTTTCTTATACGCTTTTATTGATGTTGCTTAATAGGCACTGCACTCAAATTTTAATATTCTAATACCATTTCCTTCTAACTTGAATAGTGAAATTGTTTCTGGATACTGTTTCAGCTGCAGGTTAAATCTTCATGCTCTAGAGCAGTGGTGGCGAACCTATGGCACGCGTACCAGAGGCGGCACTCAGAGCCCTCTCTGTGGGCACGCGCGCCATGCCCCAGAGATGGCAACTGTCCGTCTTCAACCAGCCACCCGCTAACTCGCTGAGGTCCCACATGGCCAGATGCATCCCAGCACTCATGCGCTCGCTGGCCTCTGTGTGCAGGGGCCGAAGGTATCAGACAGCAGCCGCCCCGGCCCCTGCCTCACCTTGCCCTGTGACAATGGCACTCCCACCCTGCCTCGCCTCACCCGGCAGGACGAGCCTCCTGCCCATTGCCCCACGTGCCAGAGACCCCCTGGATCTCCCTCAACCCTGCCTGGCCCCCACGGGTGTCCCTCCCCACGAGCAACATCAAGGTGATCATGCCCACCTTGGCCACAGCCACCCAATCTGCCATCACCACCACAGCCATGCCCACCCAGTGGACCATGCCCACCTGGCACCCGGCAATAAGTAAGTGGGTTTTGGGTTGCAATTTGGGCACTCGGTCTCTAAAAGGTTTGCCATCACTGCTCTAGAGGCCAGTAAAGTAAAAACCCTCTCCTGGAAATTGAAGCACAAAGTTTGGTTTTAGTGTCTTGTAGCGCGCGCGTTCCTATGTAGATCTATTCCCAGTGATTTCCTAGCGCTTTTTAATAGGATTGTAACGACGATCACCTGAAATTATATTGTCAGCGGACAATTCACGTAGGCAAACCGTCCATTTGCTGTTGGATTCCAATTCCCATCATTCCTAGACAGAGCGGTAGCTATTCAAAAGAAAGCATACTTCAGAGCGTCCAACAAAAATGTAACTAAACTGAGTACCGCCTCGGCACAGAAATACACGCAGGCATGTCTTACGCTCCATTCATTCGCATAAAACCACGTGTCACTCTAGATTCTCAAGAGGATGAGATGCTGCTCATAAATAAACCCGGAAGCTGTGGGGGACGCTGGCAAATATGATCTATCGGTGTGATCATAGACTTGCAATCTCGGAATCGTTTTATAGTTTGGCGTTTTGTCTCGAATCTCAGCTAGCCTTAATTCCACTTCTAATCTACAGTGTTAATTATGGGTTACACGTCGAGACGTCATTGGTAACTCTACCCGCTAAAGCTCTCCAGCTGGTTATATGCTGAAAACTGTGTATTCAACCAAATTAAGATGAACGAAAAGATTATTTCCGTTGATTTCACAGGGAATATACTACTAATATACTAATCATTATTAAAATAAAATTCGGGATATCTTCTTTTTTTGCCATCGTTTCGCAAATCAAGCAACAAGGTCTCCGTTTCTCACACATAGAATTGTAATAAGATTCCTAAAGCTGAAGCGTGACATCGCTCCACGTCGCTACCTCGGCGCTAAGAGGGATGGGGGGGAGAAGGGTAGCTCTAATCTCTATGGTGACACGTACAGGTAGAGCGTAAACGGAAGGTTCGAATTGTCACGTCATATCCGTCGAGTGACGCAGCTGCGGGTCAGAGGCGGCGGCAAAATGGCGGCATCGGACGAGCGGGAGTTGTCGGCGGAGCAAACTGAGAAGCTCCTTCAGTTCCAGGTGCTGGCCCGGGGCACGGCGGGTGGGTGGACCTGGGTGAATGGAAGTAGGCCGACGACCCTTGCTAGAGCCCCGTCTAAGTTGTCCGTCGGGGTTTTCTAGCGTGCAGGGAAAAGCGGGAGCAACTTGGCCATTCGCTGCTGCTGGCCGTGGGATGGCAGCGGGACCATGTGCGGTGGGGACGGCTGTACGGGATGGTAGTGCTTGGAAAAAGGCAGTTTTTCTCCGCGGACTTAGAAGAGCACGGTGAAGGCTTCTGCCTGTGTGTGTGGTTTCTACCGGAGGCTCTGCGTAAAACGAATGGCTTCTTTTTTTCAAAGGAAATTACGGCGGGGGGGGGGAAGAATCTGTAATGCAAAGTCTGAGCTTACTTGAAATCTACTTATTTATACGTTGCCTTCGAAATTCATTAATAGTAGCAACCCATCGCACGGTAGGTTGATTAAAGACAACAGGAAATGAGTCAGTACGCGGATATGTTGGGAGAAACCTCCAGTCCATTCCAGGCTGGTTGACCGGACACCCTAAATGATAAGTTGACATGGAGCCCATTATTATGAATATTTACTTTAGAATAAGCTGTTAAATGGATTCCCTCCTAACCAAATGTACAAATGCATAGCATTTATTCCTATATTCTATCTTGTTCTAGGACACTGAGCTATACAGTACACAGAAATCATTGTAGAGTAAATAAAGAGAATAAGATTTTTATGTTTACTACACCATAAGCATATTAGGGAAGATATCACCCTGGACAGTTTTGGCAACAACTTGTAGAAAAGTTGGCAACCCTTGAGAATTCCTAATTAGTTTTAATTGATGGGATATATCTCTTAGATACATAAACTTAAAAACTATAGACCATTCCTATAAAGTCACACTTTTTAAATTCAGAGTATGGCATTGTTACATGCATTACAATTTATGACTACCTTATATTTAGTTTTTATGATAAATTTGGGAAGGCCTATTAAATCAGGTCTGCCTCTGCCTCCTTCAGTTTCTTTTGGCTTTTCACAGCAGTTTCCAACATAACTACAGTGAGAACAGGGTTGTTGTTTTTCCTGGATATGCAACTTTTGTTCTATTATTCTTGGTTTATGAAAAAGAAACAAATATAACATGGAATATTTACAATTGAAATATAAAAAAAAATGATAGGACTTTAAAAATCCACCCACCATTGTGAGGGATTTGGATAGGTCTTATGGGACAGTGTTTATTCTAAGCCCTACCATCTCAATTGCCTTGAAAATACTTCCACATTGGCCCATAAAAGAAGCTGAGAGTTACCTATCTCTTGTTATTCGATAATACCACTGATTATATAGATATCCAATTTCAATCCCAGCTGTTCCTTTCCTAACATTTTTAAGTATTTGGCCTATTGGATTATTTATAATTCAAAGGTCTGTGTATTGTTTTGTAACCAGTAATTACAAACAAAGTTATGCATTGTAATTAGTTTAATAGATGTGTTGTCCTAAATTGGATTTTGGGCATTAAGGTGTCTGGTCTTCTTTCGTTATCAATTTATATTACACTTTAATGTTGAACAGAACAGAAAATACGTTTTGCATAATTCTGTACATTAGCCTTTCCCAATTTGTCAGTTGAGGCTGTAGTTCTGAGAACGCCTAGCCAGTATTGCTTTCATCCATGTTTTTGGAAGTAGCAGATACAGTACATCTGGATAGTGAAAGATTGAGGAAAGCTAAATACTTATGTTCAGATTTTGATTCAGTTATATCAAACAGAGGCTACACAATCACTGCTATACATCATACTTAATACTGGTAATGTTCCAAAATGATAGAATTGTGTCGTCCCTATGCATTTTAGGTAGCCATAATTTTATTTGCTACTGTTATACTATCCTGATTGCTTAAAGTGCTGCAGGCAGAATTGATAAAACCATGCATGCTAGGTTGTTATGGTTATTTTGAGAAGAAATTTGATGGCAAATTGATTTTTTGTTTGTTTGTTGTATCTGTTGAAGAGAACATGGTGATTTTTAAAATTAGAAATTAGAAAGAGTCTGGTAGCATCTTTTTAGACTAATATATTTTAATAATAGACAATCTTTCATGCAGAAACCAATCTGAGTCAGTAACCGGGACCAGACCATAACTTTTCATGAACCACAGCTGTAGTTGTGGCTGGGCTGTAGTTCACATAAATATGTCTTTTATTAATGTGTTTAATTTGAAAAGGAACTACCAAACTCATTCTGATTTTTGGCTACTATAGATTAACATAGAAGAATAGAATAGAATAATAACTTTATTGTCACTTTGAATGTACAATAATCGGCAGACATTAAAATGAAATTTTGTTGCAGACAGCTCTCAAAAGGATCACCACCTCCAATATACACTACATAAATATGACATAAATAAATACAGAATTATGCATATACCCACATATTGACACAGAGAAACAATACAGTCTAGTTCGGATTATATATACATGTGCATGGCGAGAAAAACGAATCTTTCGAGTTTACCAGACGGATGGCATAGGGAACAAAGCTATTACAGAATCAGGTAGTCCTGCTAGAAATACTTCGAAACCTCCTTCCAGAGGGGAGCAACAGAAACAGACTGATAAGTGTGTTTGTGGTGTCTCTAGCAATGCTTTGAGCTCTAAACACATAGTGCTTATAAGCAGCATCCCGAATACCAGGAAGCGAGCTTCCTATGATATTCTCTGCTGTCCTTACCAATCTCTGTAGGGACTTTCTATCTGAGGCACTGTTTCCACCAAACCAGACTCCCCTCCTTCCCTGGTATTTTAATAAATCAGGGTGCTTTTAGTTAACTTGAAATGTTTGCTTCACTAAGATAAATTTTACTCATAATCTTTTACCATCATATCCATCTGTAACTTGGGCTGCCAAATTCAATTATATTCTACTTTCCGAGCTTCATATTTTTTTTTGTAGAAATTAATTTACAGTGTGCACACTATTTTTCAAAATAAAATATTCTAAAAATAAAGGGAGAATATTGTCAAGCACAAAGAACAACACAATGAATTGCTCAGGGTATTTTCTTTATAGCTGTTTCCCCATAGGCAGGAATCTTGGCATATTAAAGCACACTCTGCATAACTATCCTATAGAACAGTGGTGGCGAACCTATGGCACAGGTGCCAGAGACGGCACTCAGAGTCCTCTCTGTGGGCACGCGCGCCGTCGCCCCAGTCCTAGGCCTTCAGCTGGGTTTTATAAAACCTTTTCGCTTTAGGCCTCCGCCGCCATGTGCAAAAAAAAAAAAGTTTCAATCAGTCAATTTCAACTTCTCGCAGGAAAAAAAAGATCTTGCAAAGTTGGAATTGATTAATTGAACTTTTTAGTCCCACCCAGTCTGCCGTTACCACCGTAGCCACGCCCACCCCAATGGGCCACACCCAGCCAATGGGCCACACCCACCCGGCACCCGACGATGCATAAGTGGGTTTTGGGTTGCAGTTTGGGCACTCGGTCTCTAAAAGGTTCGCCATCACTGCTATAGAATAAATCTTGTGAAGGATAAAGGTCTGTGGAGATTCTCGATCATCCAGGTCATGATTGTCCCAAAGGTGCTTTTCAAAGGGAACTGAAATTTCTTAGTTTTTTCCTTTAAAATGATTTTCCTTGAAAATGATACCACCTATATCCTGTCTGCAACATAGTCCTCTCAGCAGTCCCAGAAAGGGTCCACACCCATTTGCACTCTGATTCAGGTGACCCTGAGAGTATAGATAAACCCTCAGGTGGACTCCTCAGAGAGCTAACAAGCAACTTTCAGAGAACTAACATCCAGATGATTGCAAAGAATATAAATCCTTCCCCACCATTCAGTCAGAGCTGAGGAAGCTTCTTGAGAAGTGAAACATTTTCAACGAAAAAAAAACTAAGCAAGTGCAGTTGGCTTTTGAAAAGCACCTTTGGGAGTTGTGAAGATTTAGGGAGGATCCCTCCTGGCCCTCTTTCTGCCTACCAAGGACACAAGGCTGATTTCCCTCTTAGCTCCTTGTGAGAGACCCCTCCCCCCTCTAGATTCAATTCCAGATTCCACTACAAATATAAATCAAATAAATAAGCTTCAGCACAATAACTTATTTAATTCTGTACCATCACATGACACAATAACTATAGTTACAGGTATAAGAATCTAAAGGGTGTGAAAACTAATGGCAGAATTGTTTATATATCTTCAGGCTGGGGTCTTCGGCTTCGTGCTTGTGCGAGCAGAGTGTGATCGGAGCTGCCGTCTCTCTATAAATATTGGTGGGGGTGTGTGGAGTGCTGGCTTAGTTGCTGTAGGTGGATTGGTTGGCTGTGTGGGAGAATAATTATGGAAGCCATCAAAATAGAAAAACACCCCGACAGCATGAATAAACGTGACGATACATCCCGCCTGCCAGACATCTGGAAACTAGCCCTAATCAACAAACGAGTCCTAGCCACGAAAACTGACACTGGACCCAGAACAACACAGTACGCCACCACCATTCACCCTCACCAGACCCAAACCCATCCCTCAGACGAAATGCAACCACCATCCAGAAGCCAAACCACGCCGACATCACCAGCTGCTGCACCTCCCTCTGACCCCCACACAAAGCAAACGGACACACACCATGAACACAGAGCTAGACCGCAAACTCGGAGCAAACCAAAGCCTGGTATGCTACATCACAGCCTTCTGCTCTGGACATCACATCACAGAACTCAGGGGGTTACACCGCTAAAGCTCAGGATGTTACAACACAGCCAACCACCCAGGATGTTGCAACACAAAACTCAGGATATCACTACACTAGATCTCAGGATGTAATCACACAACCCATTACCCAGGTCGTTATAACACAAAAGGCTAATGGGCACACAGCCAGCACCTCAACTACTCAGGATGTTACGAAACAGCTGAACAATCCGCAAACAATAGCTCCCACACAGCCAACCAATCCACCTACAGCAACTAAGCCAGCACTCCACACACCCCCACCAG